GTCGGAGGGGAAAAAGAACAGCTCCAGTGATTTTCCCCATAAAGGCTTAAGCTGGAACCAAAACAGTTTGGTGTTGGACGGCATTGTCCCGCGGCTCAACCCTGGACAGATGTGTGCCGCTGATTACAGCGGCGGTGGATTAAAGATAATATCTAGCTCAACGTCCAAGGTTTAAGATGGCGTCCACGTGATGATCTATTATGTAATTGCCACCAATGCAAATACAGTCTTAAGTAAGGCTTAGCCATCGTAGCCAGTGCGGGATCCGAGACACACTGGCTCCATCCTCGCTCAGAAATCAGCCATTAAAGCATCTTACCGATTTAAAAACACATCATTTTCCCTGGACTCTGGCTAAGATGTCAGGCTGACATTTTTGCTTGTGTTTGATGTGTTTAGTATGGATCCGAGCATCGTTATCTAATATGAAGATTATGGTTTAATGGGTCTAATTCAACGATTCGCAAACCTCTCTATAAAATGTTTGGTCTTATTTGTTTAATAAAAAGTCTAGACAGGGTCACGGTAACCGCTCTATTGCATTGATTCGTTTTTGGTTGATAATTAATTGGCATTAGATATATTTGGGAACTGAGAAGACCAGTTTTTGGACCTTTGGGATAAAGATTATGGTCCAATTCTCCTTTGATGCAACGCACCAGCACCAGTTTTTACTGGCACTTTTTCTAGACTTTGGGAAAATACTGGTGTTTAAACCTAAAGACCACCTAAGAATAGTATAAAAGATGGATGTCCAGCATATGCCAGTAAACTCACCATTATTGATAAATGAGATTTCAACCAATCTAATAGTCTGACCAGAATGAATTCATATCAAGATGTAACCACTCAGAGGTAAACTTCCCATTTTTCAGACTGCAAAGAGACCCAACCATTGCTTTGTACGTCCATCTGGAAGAGCAGATTTTCCACCAAGAGGGCAAAAAGATGGAAAGTCTGGCAAAGGTTGATTCAAACACTCTGGGTTTTCCATGCGAGGCCAAGAGGAGTTTTTATTGAGCCCCGTTCTGTTAAACTGCCCTCCAAATGGCCGAAGATGTTTATTTGACTTCTTACGTTTTCTTTTTTCAATCATTGATTTTTTTTTCTTCACCAGCTCATTTCCATTCCGTGCTGCAGCCTATCCCAGCATGCACCTTTCCTTTTCCATATTTAATTTGCTCCATTCTGGAAGCGATGCGGAGGCATTGTTGACCAGCATGCGTGGATTTTTTTATTTTCCCCTTTTTCAAGCGTGGATCCGTGTTCCTCCTGAGCCCTGGGATGACATGAGCAAGCATCTGTGAGCTTATTCCACAGTTACCTGAGGCTAAAAAGGGAGTGGAAAGTTATGAATTTCATTTGTCGACAGGAAAAGCCATGAAATCATCAGCACCGAGCATAAAAAGAAGAAATGATGCTTTTGTGGCCCTATTTCAAGCTGCCATGCAAAAACTGTGTGTTCTAATTAACATTAAATCATGAAATTGCCCCGCAACGAAAACTAAACATGAATGAACTCATTAGACTAAATAAAAAATAGCATCCTTAATAGCCTGAGTCTTGTAAAACGCCTGTATCTGAACATCACTTTATGGGAGTAGATGGAAACATGAAGATGTCAGAATTCTGAGCTGATTTAAAGCAGTGAAAGCAGAAAAAATGTCAGTAAAAATGGAAAAGAAGAAATCCTCCCTTAGAGTTCATGTCAGGATTAAGACGGATTCAATTGTCTCTTCTTTAATGATATAACGACTTTTGACTTATCATGGCATTTTCCCCCTAATTGCTCACTCACCCTAATTACCGAGATAAATTCACATATCCAGCTTACTGAGAGCCTCCGAAAAAGAAACGAGACCCTTTTATGTCCTCAGATTTAGCAACCCCATAGCAGCCACACCGAGGGGTGACTCACATTATGACCCACTGTAAATCACTAGCTTATATCAGAGCAAAAAAAACAACCCGAAGGCACGCATAAACATTAATGTTTTTTCCTGATTTTTAGCGTAATCATTTGAGTTGCCGCCGCCCGAGGAGGTTCGCAATATCCGAGACAAATGAAGAATATAATTTAGAATAATACGTATGTGTGTTTTGTTGCTTCAATAGTGCAGGGGGACGGAGATTGTCGGACATGAGAGGCCGCGGAAAACCAACTCGAGGCTGAAAACGAAGGGCGGAGGAATGGGTCATGCCTTAAGATCACCAGCATCCGCTGAGTGGACGGAGGGCTCTATGGAGTATTTGGACTACTACTCACAACGGGCAAATCCTCACTGATCTAATCAAATCCTCGAACCCCCGCCCAGCAGATCGGAGGCAGCGTTCAGAAAAAAACAAAAAGACTCGATGGGCAGAAATACAGAGGCCACGCTCCAAGATAAAAAACCTCTTTCGGGCCAGGAAAAACGTGAGGCCAAATGAAAGTCTGCCAAAAAAAAACATCCCCATAAATCCCAAAGCTCCTCTGGGTAACGTGGTGGTGGGAGCTTTGGTGGAGCACGTCTGGCTGCATCAGCACGGGCCCACTAACGTTCCCTGATGAACTCCGAGGTGTAGAGAAACATCCCCTTCATGCCTCCAAACGCATCGCATGGCTTCATCCTACAGTAATAACCATCCCCAAACACCCATCTGCTCACCCAATGATCTCTATCATTCGATCTGTCCAGGAAACGTTTGAAAAACCTCTTTCTCTGGACAGCCTTGAGTCCTAATTTGGTGACTTTTGATCGGTTAAACTCATTTCTCTTCAGCACAGTTTTATTGACGAAGGGTCCGTTCGTTAAAGAAGTCATTTCCAAGCTCTTCAGAATCCGGTTATTTTGCAGATGTGCATCGGTAGATTTATTCTGCAGGTTTGATTATCTTTAACGTGACAACAGATTACCCGGTTTTTCACCTCATTAGTTGTTTTGAATTTAGACTGTTGCTTTTTACAGTTTGTAACTTCTCAATAGTCCATTTGATCCATTTGTAAATCTCCTGTTTAGCACAGTAAAGCCTAATTTTTACAAAACATTCCTTTTTTCTTATCCAACCTTTATCAACTATATGCCATATATTATAATTAGCACCTTCCATCTCCAACTTTGCAGTATTCACACAAAAATCTTTCAAATGTCCTAATTTGACTCCAGCAACACACTTAACCTCCTGAGACACTGCATTTTTCATCTCTTTACCTTGATACTTCTTTTTTTAAAATGAACTTCGACCTCTTGGCCTCCTAGTAGACGCTATCAGACACTACTGTTTTAGATCTAAAGTAAAATGGTTTTATACATTTTCAACCACTCATGTTCTTATCGTGTAATTGAGATTGTGTAAATAAGTAATTTGGCCCATCAGAACCAAATTGCAAAAACATTTAATTAAATATGAAAAAAAACATTTTAAATATAAACATGATCTTATTGGGCCTATATGAAGACCTGTACCATGACAAAGTCTGGTTATTAAACTTATTAAAATGCACACAAAATAAAAGCTCGGCTCTCAGGAGGTTAAAGATAAAGGTTAGCAACAGCCTTCCTTTTAAATAGACTTTTTGATTGCCAGGTCTATTAGGTCCACATTGTGATGATTGTTGTGACTTTATTTATAACTCTTTGTTTCTAACTCTTGATAGTAAAAAAGTTATTCCTGGATACAATTTCAAAAGTGAGGATTCATTCTGACATTAAGAGTGTTTTTCCCACCTTGGAAGCAACAGGGATGCTGGGCCCTGCCCACATGCTGGGTTTAATCTGTCCCATTTCTGTGTTCTCTCACAGATTGTTAACAGTTCCACCTCCGGCTCATCCAGCTGAAAGTGGGCTGTGACATGATGGGCCCCAGAGCCGTAGGCCCCTCTTAAAGTAGTGGCCACACAGTTCCTTCATAAATTATGCTTTCAACCATGCATTTTAAATAGAAAACACTGATGGCTGAAATGATGATTTGACAAATCCCGCAGCAGGTGACGGAGCAAAAAAGGACCCAGATGGTGAAATGATGGCTCGTCTGCTTTGCTGTTTGATGTGTAATCCGTGGCTCTGCTGGACTCAAACCATAAATTGCAACCTTGTTTTCCGTCCCTGAAATGTTCTCTGTCCACCATTGCAGAAACAACCCGAAAACGCACAGTGCTGTGTCCAGCAAAAAAGCAGTTATGACCTCCATCAGCGCACACTGGCGCTAAATCCCAGCAGATTCATGAACCCAATCCCCCAACCCTGAGCCATTAAAGAATTATTTAATCAACCTGCAACGCAAGTGTAATCTAATCTTCCATCCATAAACACTTGAAGACTCACATGTCCTGTTTAATGACGCTGAAGGTTTTTTTTTTTTTTTCTTCTCGGCTGTGACACACTGATAGTGGGGAGCTCTGTTTCTGTCCGCGGGCTATTGTCAACGCTCCTGTCATCTCATATTGTGTGATAATATGCGTGTGTGCGTGCGCGTAGGTCCAGCCTGATCGCGCGCGCACCCCCCCTCGTCGCTGCTCGTGCACGAGTCTCCGCAAGGAAGCTGCCTCTTCGCGTCTTTGCGCGCAGAACCGGAGCCAAACTTTGATGAGCTGGAACCGTCCCCGGTGCCACGAAGCAAGTCACCGAAACAGGAGCGTTTATTTCTCACTGTAAATCATAATCCGTGGCGTAAATTTGGGGGTTCTTAAGGTGAGTGCACCGCCTGCTTTTCAGTTGTGCTTTACGCGTATTTTTTTTCCCCAGACTGAGCTCATTATTAACTGTAACCATGTTTTGGATGATCTACAAGTATCTGTAAAGCAGCAGTGTGTGTGGAGGTTGTTTTTTTTCTTAAATACAACATACATAGGGCATAACTTTGCCCCCCCCATCGGGGTTTAAGTGTGACTCCGTGCGTATTGTGGTTCAGTCGCAGCGCATCTGTCCACCACAGCTGGATCTCTAACATCTCTCCAATGCTTGTGTATTGCATTCAGTCCCCTTTTCAGACTGAAAAAAGAAAAAAAAACAGGTGTCGACATGGAAAATACCCCGGTTGAGATTTTCAAAGAAGACAATAAGTGCCTCTCGGTGTTGGAGGACTGTTCGACCAATTCTTCCCTCTGGGGGACCGGACACTCCGGTAGCCGCAATGTGAGCCAGGAGGACGAGGGCTGGGAGCAGGAAGGGATGTCCCCCATCATCCCCATCATCACTGCGGTGTACTCCGTGGTGTTCGTGGTCGGCTTGTTGGGGAACTGTCTGGTCATGTATGTGATCATCAGGTGAGGACACTGTTTTTAGATCTCTCTTAACTTTTTTTAGGACACAGTTAAGCCAATAACATGGATCTGAGAGAGAGAGAAAAAATAACATCATGTCTTAATGAGAACGGAAGCGATGGGTAAAACGTGAGTTCTTTTTGGGCATGAAGGGAACATAAATCATGCCATGTGTTTTGTTTTTTTAAACAAGGTCTGGCAATATTTATGCCTCTTTATACCTCTTTTGACTCAGACAGAGTCTTGAAGATTTAAAGTAACCTCTTGACCATTGGGTCAGTGTCCGTATTCTTGGATTTAGTTAAAAATAAAAGTAATTGTTTGTGCCGTTAAGGCTACTTGAAGCATTATTCGTATGTGAACTCTGCAGGTCATCTCGGCCCAGCAGAGTCCTTTCAGTAGCTTTCTGCTAATTATTCACGAAGAGAGACCAATAAATTCCTGCATTTACTCAAATATAGTCATGTTTCCTGCAAAAGCTTATCTAAAGGATAACACAGTCAGGTTGGCAGACCTTATGGAGTCACCTATAGGTATGCAAATTAATTTAAAGTGTCAATAAGCACGTGATTATTGTAACATGGCACCGTGTACACAATATTGTCTTATTCAACAGTCCAGAAATTCATGGGAATCTTCCAACAATTGTCCAAACTGTCTGTATTTGTTGATGTTGTGTCCCTATCCTTTAAACCTCTCTGTGATTGGTTGCCACCCCAAGGGGGTAAAAGACTGGCAATGCCTCAGCACAACTGTCCAAAAGTCATCTTAAACCATGCGTTTTTCCTGAGTGCATCTGTTTTTTCTCCATGTTTTTTACTTTTTGGGTAAATCCCATTAGGCCCTCGTTCTAGATTTATTCGAATTTGGGCTGAAAAAGTTCAAATAAAAAGAACATTTCAAATGAGGCCATCTGGGATGTGTTATGGAAAATATTCTGGGTATCGATTTTTGATTAATTTGAAAAAGAAAAGGCAACAACTAAGTCAGAGTGGTGGAAGTAGAACCCTGCTGAGCACTGATCATCTCCAACCTGCTCCCCCCCCCCTTTTGCTTTTCATGCACCAGACCTGGTGCGTACCTTTACCTTCCAACCAAAATGGCCGACTTGTTTGGAGATAGATTTGAAACTGGATGAATGCTCTGCTTCACTGTGAGCAGCCATCAGAGGAGCACGTTATTTTGCGATCCAATAGTTCAAACCTAAGCTAAATCTTCACAGTAAACATTGCAGCGTGGCTTTTTACATTGTGACCCAACACAGACTTTCAGCATTTTGTTTACTGAAGCAAATCCCAGCGTAGCATTCGGTTGAACTAATATCATTTTTAGTAAGTTTTGGATTTTCATTGGATAGGAAAAATACTTCGTGGGGTGGCACACAATCCACGTCCCAAATTCAAAGAAAAACAGAACACCCCCTTAAATCTTCTGATCGATTTTCTCCCAAACTCACTGTGCTGCAGTGCTCAGTCCGCCCTCATCTCTGCGTTTATTGAAATCCTGTAGATGGCGGTGTTCATGGAACATGGCTTTTGGAAGTATGAGGAGCGACTCCAAAGCAAAATATTTCCTTCAACCTCAGGGAAAACCTCTGGGGAACGTTTACATTGAAAAATAGCATCTCCTGGGTTTAAAATGAGAGTATGGTCCCTTCTGATTTAAAGAGAAAGAATATAGATGGTGACAGCTATATTTCAGGATGACCTGAAATAGCATTTTTGCATACGTGGATGCCCCTTAGTTACTCCAACATCACAGCAACCTTTGCTTAAAAGTTAATGATGTCCGGAGATGAAAACATGGCCTCATCACTTGCAAATAACATTTCTGAGCTTAAGCATACTAAAGAACACATAATGTGGCACCTCTATCCCTTCTGGGTCCAAGTTTAACCTTTTTGAGAGGATTATACTTTCTTTTACCCATCTTGATTTAAATGTGTACTCAGAACCAGCCTCTGTTACCATGGAAACAAATGGGTTGGAGGACGTCGAGTGATGTGATGTGTAAAGTTTGACACAAATTAGTGCTCATAATTGTATTTTTATATGTTTGAAAACAAAATTAATGGACCTGTGGACATCTATCCAACAAATGGGGCTGGTTCAAAATGATTTGTACTTGATTTGACTGATGAAACTTTTGTGTGGTCAGAAGTTGTGTTTATAGCCAACACAACACCGTACTTTCCAAACACAGAGGGCTCCAATAATGGAGCACACAAATGCGTGTGGTGCTTTTCCCTCACTCATATTCCACCTCTCAGATTTGGCTCCATGGTTTCCACATAACCATTCACATGCTCTCACCTCTGCTGTCTCCTTCTGGAAGAAAACTTGAAATTAGACTTAAAGCCTGGAGTTCGCAAAATTCGTAGAGCCATAGAAATCCCACCGTAATTAATTTGATTTAAACAGGCCAATCACTGCGAGCGGCATCCTCGACATAACAATGAAGCGCGAGGCATAAAACCCACATTTGAGATTCAGGGCGGCTTTACGCGCCGTTTAATAGCTAATGAGCCCGGAGCAAAAGTCTTCCACCCAGACACCGAGGCCAGAGGTGGCTGCTCGGGAAGCTTGCTCGAATTTCAACTCAACCGGTTTGCGTTCCGCCTCTCTCCCAGGTACACGAAGATGAAAACGGCCACCAACATCTACATCTTCAACCTGGCCCTGGCCGACGCCCTGGTCACCACCACCATGCCCTTCCAGAGCACGGACTACCTTCTGAACACCTGGCCCTTCGGCGAGGTGGTGTGCAAGGTCTTCATCTCCATCGACTACTACAACATGTTCACCAGCATCTTCACGCTCACCATGATGAGCGTGGATCGCTACGTGGCCGTGTGCCACCCGGTGAAGGCCCTGGACTTCCGCACGCCCATCAAGGCCAAGATGATCAACGTGTGCATCTGGATCCTGTCGTCGGCCGCCGGGATCCCCGCTTTCGTCCTGGGCGGTACCCAAACCAACAGCGGTGAGCCGGCGCTTTCCTTACCAGATAAAGCCACTGGTTCAAACATTTTTAAAGCAAAAGCCTTTTTTTCTTCTTCTTTTTTTACCATCAAGCCCATCTGTGACGGAGTTTTTTTTCCATTAGGCATAGCCATTATTCCAGAAAATAGATGAAGTCGGAAAAAAAGGGCAAAATGTCCCCCTGTGAGTGCAGATTAGCTGTTCCATGACAGCTCGCCAAATTGATGGCACAAAAGTGCAAAGTGGAATTTCATTCATGATGAAACACAAGTGCACTTTGTCATTTAACTCATTCGCTGCCAAAGACGTCTATAGACGTCAATTCAAATACAACCGCTGACTGCCAAAGACGTCTATAGACGTCTTTTATGTTTTTCAACGCGAGTGACTTGGGGGACGATCTGCTAAAGCTTGTCCGTAAATATCGGCTTCTAGACAGAGTATATAGTAACAAATTGACCCTCTAGGTAGCAGTTGAGGAAGAACGGAATAAGGTAGAAACGATTTTTTTTTCCTGATGAAAGAAGAGAGTCTACTCTGAAAATGTTCTGAAAATGGCTGGCAGTCAATGAGTTAATAATCATCTCCCCCCCCATCTGTCTTCCCGCAGACATAACCGAATGTGCCTTGCAGTTCCCGGAGCCGTACGCGTACTGGGACACGATGATGAAGATCTGCGTGTTCGTCTTCGCCTTCGTGGTGCCCGTGCTCATCATCACCGTGTGCTACTCCCTCATGGTCCTGCGGCTGAAGAGCGTGCGCATGCTGTCGGGCTCGCGGGAGAAGGACCGCAACCTGCGGCGCATCACGCGGCTGGTGGTGGTGGTGGTGGCCGTCTTCGTGGTGTGCTGGACGCCCATCCACATCTTCATCCTGGTGAAGGCGCTGGTGAGCGTGCCGGAGACCACCGCCATCATGGCCGCCTACTTCTTCTGCGTGGCCCTGGGCTACACCAACAGCAGCCTCAACCCCGTGCTCTACGCCTTCCTGGACGAGAACTTCAAGCGCTGCTTCAAGGACTTCTGCCTCTCGGCCAAGCGGAAGGGGGACAAGGCGTCGGGGAGCAAGAAGGCGTCCGGCGCCCTGAGGGAAGCCGCCGTTCCCCTGAACAACCCCGACGGGACTAGCAAGCCCACATGACTAGCGGTGGAACTGTCTTCGATCTCCCACACCGGAAAGGAAGACTCGCATGATCTGGGCTTAACACACATCACCTCATCAATGTAGGCGGATTGCTAAATGAACATTGGTCTACTTGGTATTTTCATTTTCACCTCAGTTTCAATTCAATTTTATTTCCAGAAAGAGCAGGTCAGAAGTTAGTTACAGAAGCCCAACAATTCCCACCAAAAGCAAGCACTAGGCGACACAGGGAAGGAAAACCTTCCTTTAAGAGGGAGAAATCTAGAGCCGAAACATGGCTCAGGGTGGGGGGTCCATCTGCGAGGGAGAGAGAGAGAGAGAGAGAGATTCAAGTAAAGGTAGTGTCTCTATAAACTGAATGAAAAATGGTACAGATATTGTCAGTAATGTTAATGATAATGATAACCGAGACATTAGCAATAGGATTAAAGTCCACCTGATGGTTAAACAGTGCCAACATTAACATGGAGCATTTAAACTTTTGCATTTTTCTCAACGGTGCATCGAGTTCGTCTCTTGAGCTTTTGACCTTTGCCCCTTAACAACATTTGATACCGACTCTCCGAACAAATGCGAGTTACAACACAGACTTGTTTTAGCACAAAAAATACAGAATTTGATCTGAATTAATCATTGATTGATTTGCCAACAGCATTATAGATCATTGCGGTGCGGAGTGAAAACATCCAAGATGTGTATTTAAGCAAAATTTGAATTTGCATCGCAGTTTCCTGTCGTTTCAAAGCTCCGAGTCCATTTTTTACCGCCGACTTTTTGACAAGTCCCAGCAGGAGAAGCAGGTCCTCTAATGAGGCCTGCGCTCCATTCAGCGGAGTTATCTCCCCTGTTATCTCACGCTGGTTACCTCATCGCTCACTCAGACTCTGAAATGAGCCCGAGCAGTTTGTAATGTTGTTAATTGCTGCTGGACTTTTTCTTTCTGTGTCGGTAGTCTGCCGATCAATGCTCTGGGGAAAAAAAACAGTCAGCAGATGAAGCCCTGCATCATTACAACATCAGAAAATCAGACATGGCAGTGATTCTGAGGTGAATTGTCACATTTTTAAGGGGAAAATTAATTTAACATGGATTAAATATATTTAAAAAAAACCCACCTTTCTCATACATATGAATTATTCCCATGATTTTCTTTATAATATGATCTTTTCCAGAAGTGCCTTTAACAGTCCAGGATAACACGGTTGTGATGATTGACTAGAACACATTTGATGTATAACAGATTGTTTTTTTTGTTTTTAAAAATTGGACATGTCAGTGGTGGTTGCATGACACGTCTTTTTTTCCAGACGTGTGTGAAAAGCCTTTTCTCCTCCGGCCTGAGCGTGAATGGTGCTGATTGACCACAGCGTGAGCGCACCGTTTCACGGTGGTCTTTGAAGTTGCATAAGAGTCGGTGGGAGGTTTAAAAATAGGCGAGCGTCCGACTGCGTCACGGCGAACGCGACCACCAGAAAAAAAAGGTAGCTGGCTAGATCCTGGACTCGAATGTGCATTTAAAATTTGACAGAGGGCTCTATCAGTTCTGCGTCCAGACTGATACATCGTTAAATTTATGCGTTTATGAATAACTTAACCACACGTGCTGTGAATGGCTTTTATAGTGGTCACACACTGTCCTGTAACGCAACAAGCTGTGCACCTACAGTAAATACACACCTGGAAACACACCTGTGCAGTGTTGTCTCTGTGTATGAAGAACTTTGTATAGATTCCGAAAAAGAAATATCTTTGCACAAGAATGATAATTCAGTGAATTATAACTTTAGCATGCCAGTGGTCATTGCTCTGATTTAAAAGGCGTATATGCTTGATGGACCGTGCTGCATCATTTAAAACAATGTACAAAGTCATGTGAGCACAACCTAAGCTTTGGTGAATAGAAAAACAACTGCTTTTGGAATAGTTATTAAATGCTACTATATATACGTATGTGTGTAAAAATAAGGAACGTGCAAATGTCCGTTCACTTCATACATAATAAGGGACATCATCTAAAGAGCCTCACTGTGACCGATGCATTGTTTTTCTTTTCTATCTCTCAGTCTCGCTCTTCACTCTTTAAATCTAATATTGTATGTTGGATTTGTTTGCTGTCATTGTGAAGGACATGTACTGATCCTGTTTGTGAAGTTCTTGATATTAAAGCAAGTTTAATAAATCCACATTTAGTCTTTCCTTCTGCCGAGGGGATCTCATCTTCTTGTCAGCTTTCGTTTGTCAGCGTTTCGCCATGTGTTCGAAACACTGATTTCCTCTCTAAATGACTCTGTCTGTGCTCATTTTTAAATTGTTTCCTTTATGAGCAAAACTGTGTCGGCCATATGGTCTTATTTGAGTTTTCACAGAGAGTTTTCTGTGCAGATTTGTGAGTGGCAGAGATTCCAGTATTCCTCTGTGAGCCAGGTGCTCCCCTCAGAGGATGGAGAGCAGAATTACCTCAACGTGGACATGAAATTCGTAAGTCGTACATACTATTACTATATAATACTTTGTTGCATGTTACACATGGGGGGGAGTGGCAAAAATGTCATATAAATCATTCATAAAACAGTTTTAACTAACATAACCATTGTGAAAATAATAAGGTAAAGAAAAAATAAATAGTAAATGGATAAAATTCAATCCACATTTATGTAAAAATGATTATTTGGGGGGGGAAACTATTAAATTTGACATATAACTTAACTTGGCTTAGAGTTGTCTGATCCAGTGTTTATGATCAAAATAAATAAATCTTGATCTAATTATCCTGACCGTGATTTTAGAGGTAAACCAAACTCCATTTTGGAGATTGAAAAAATCACATAGCACTGCTGTTCCAGACATTTTTATTAGATCAAAGAAAAGCTCAAATGAACAAGGCCTTCAGTTTTTCTCTAAGGATGCCTTTTAAATTCATGTAAGGATTACTGTGGGGGGAATCTGAAACATGCATGGCAAGCAGTAGTTATTTCCAGCTCACGGTGGGGGTTCTTCTCTTAGAACGCAAAGCCCGTTGCACCATCTAGTGCCTGCAGCATGACATATCCCATGACTTTACAAAGGGACACATTTATTTCTAGTACTTCTCTTTTATCCAGATTATCTGATACAAAAATGTTACATGCAAAAGGACACACAAATATAACTAATGGATTTACTTATCCTTGATGGATTCTTCCATGTTCTTCCATGGACGATTTAATATTTTATGAGGTTCAGAGTCTTGCCCAAGGACTTTTCCAAAAAATGAATTTAATATGACTTTATCACTATTGGAGTGTCATGCTTGTTTGATTTATGGATGTTCAGAAAACATACCAACGATCTCAACAGTGTAAGATGAACAATTATAGTAATCCAGCTACGTATTTTACCAGTAAACAATGTCAAGCAATCTTGAAAAATATTGAATATTCTTGATATTCCTGATATTCTTTTTGTTGTTGTTGTTGTGGTTGATGCTATCTATTGATTGAGACAGATCATTTAATGTCTGGGGACACATAAATTGGTCAGTGTAAGTAAAATAGGCTCAAAGAATGTGATCTAAAATGCAGAGGAGCAAGGTTTACATTAAACCAAAATCCACTGACAAAAACTGACTTAAAAAAGTTTAATTTGACATTACTTTTAATTAATTATTTTTTTATTATAGATTTCTTTTAGCTACTCCTTCTGCCATTTCAACTTGAAATTATAACAAATTTAACTGATGATTTCTCCGTTTATTTTAAGAAAAAATATTTTAAGAGGGCGCGCCCGGGTGGGGGAGGATCGCGTGACACCTCTGACGTCACCTCAGACACTTCCGGGTGTTTCCTTCGGCCGGACCGTGGACTCTTGACAGCAAACTCACGACGCTTTTCTTTTTACATTTCAAGTCTCCTTTTTTGGTCGAAATGAACCGTATTTTTGGCAAAGGCAAACCCAAAGCCCCCCCACCGAACCTGACCGACTGCATTGGAAACGTAAGTGTCACCCTTAAGTAACTTTTTGGACTCAAACAAAGTAAACAAAGATGGATCCCTGCTAACTGTTAGCTCACTTTAAGAGCCAGAAATTGGACACTATTTGCTTCGTTTAAGTGTATAAGGTCGAATCAACTGTCTTGACATCGATTAAATGAAGATTACTCGTATCTTTAATTACAAAAACTGACTATTAATGATGATTACTAGCCTGTCGCGGTATTGAGGTCGATAAACAAGATGTTTTTAACAGGCCATTCGGTAATTTGGTATGTAATAATGTCTGTTATTTGGGTTATGCGATTGTCATCCACTGATTCATTATCATTCTTTTGCTGAAGGAGAGGATAAGAACCAGTTATACTGGTCGGTTTTGTCCAGAGGCTCAGAGTTATTTTTAGCTGCTCGGAGTTGTAGAAAAACTTGGGGATTTGACGTTGATTTGAGTGGAAATAGTGAATATATATATATATATATATATATATATGTGTGTGTGTGTTTGTGTGTGTGTTTGTGTGTGTTGCTCAGCTCATGAAATGATTAAAAAGTGAATGCCCTGCTCTATTTTCCACTCTTAGGTTGATTCTCGGACCGAGTCCATCGACAAGAAAATCGCCAGACTAGATGTAGAACTTGTGAAGTACAAGGATCAGATGAAGAAGATGAGGGACGGGCCCTCAAAGGTGAGCTGGATGAAGGCTGACTGGAAAAAAACCCTCATCAGAAAACAAGAAATGGCTTTACAGAAACTCTTCTGTTTCATTGCACCTTAATTACCAAAGGAGGTGTCATGCTGATTTAGACATACATTTGTTTTCAGTCATTATAGTGATTTCTGTTATACTGGTTAATATTATTGTAATAAATTTGACAGTGATGAATTAATCTAGCTTGATATTTGAACTTTCTTTTCTGTGAATTGCCTCTTAACCTTGTTGGACAGTACTGACAAAGAACAGACTAAACCCTGGAACAATTGTGATTTTAACAACTCCAAAACCAGATGATCCCTAAGAATTTGTTTGGTTGTTGTGGAGACATTTGGTATACTGTAACATATACTTCTTGCTCCTTCTAAGATTTTACAGTAATGATCAGCAAATCTAATTTTCTTTTCACTAGAACATGGTGAAGCAAAAAGCCATGAGAGTTCTGAAGCAGAAGAAAATGTAAGTGAACTTGGCTCCTATTCAGTATTTATATTGTTTCACCTTTAAACACACACACTATTACATGATCTCAGAATGGATCATGTTTAATTTACTATACCAGGACGGTGAAGACTCTTTTTCATCGTCTTATTTCAGGTATGAAGGCCAGAGGGATAACCTCATGCAGCAGTCGTTCAACATGGAGCAAACCAACTACACAATCCAAACCCTCAAAGACACTAAAACCACAGTAAGAGATGAGACTGAACTAACGGGCCAACGGGTGGAGAAAACACGCTTTACGATAACTTTCCTTTCTCTTCCAGGTTGACGCCATGCAATTGGGCCTTAAAGACATGAAGAAAGCCTATAAGAACGTGAAAATCGATAAGATCGAGGTACTGGTACTTTTTCTTCTTAACAGGCACGATCACTGTAAAATTCTTGGTTTAAGATATCATGGGTACGCCTTAACAGCTTTTTTGTAATAATTAGGATCTCCAGGATCAGCTGGAGGACATGATGGAGGACGCCAACGAGATCCAGGAGGCGATGGGCAGGAGCTACGGCACGCCTGACATCGACGAGGACGACCTGGAAGCAGGTGAGGGAGAAATTAAGACTAAAAAGCTGTGGGCTCATGCCGCTAGATTGTTCCCCCTCATATCTCAACATCTCACATTTTGTGTAGTTCACTGATTCCAGTTTGTTTGAACTGGAAGGGAAATAATAATGTCACCAAAAGAAGAAAAGCATGGAAAAATAATAGATGAAGAATAGGGATGGGAGGGTTTCTGAAAACCGTCCAAACCGTTGGGTTCGACTGTCTCGGTTCGGTTGGCGTGTGTTGCGTACGGTTCATGCGCTGCTCCTTTTTCTCATAAGCGAAGCGTTTACACTCCAGAGCAGAAGGTGGCGCTACTGCGCCCAAAGCCAACCACCAGTAGTAAAGAAGAAGAAGAAGGAAGCAGCGTAGCCGATAAACATCCGACGCGCCAACAGCAGTTTCTAGGTCTGCTGTATGGACCACTTTGCATTTAGAGGGAAGCACATATTGGAATTAGCACTGTTTCCTCGCTTGCAATGCCAGAATCTCACCTACTTTTAACCTCAGACTGTCACAATAATGGATCAAATGTCAGACTGCTTTTTTCTTTCAGTTTTAACTTGACTATACAAGACATAATAGATTTTCCTAACAATCAACATATACCAAACCGAACCGAAAACCGCGACCACGAAACCGTGAATCGAACCGAACCGTGGATTTTGTGAACCGTCCCACCCCTAATGAAGAAGCTGAGTTCACCTACAGTGGGAAGACTTTTTAGACAAACTGTTCACATCACCACATACACTATTTTTGTCCAAAGTAACGCCTGTTTTTGTCCCCCTGTCCGTAGAGCTGGACGCTCTGGGAGACGAGCTGCTAATGGATGACGACAGCTCTTACCTGGACGAGGCGGCCACCGCTCCCTCCATCCCAGATAGTCTCCCGGGCGACCGGTCCACCAACAGAGTACGCAACAGCTTCTTTTTTGGTTTTGCCACATCGTTGTAAACGCAATTATTTTAATCAAACGTCTGTGTTTTTGTGTTTCAGGATGGCGTGCTGGTGGATGAGTTTGGCCTTCCCCAGATTCCCGCTTCCTAAGGCACCGATCCGGACCCGTGACATGCTAGTTTTACATGTATCGTAGCCTTCTTTTGTATTTATCAACTCACACTCCTGACCTTACGAGCGCATCACGGAAAACCAAAGAATATTCTGTAGGATGAGTTACAGAAAATGGACGGTAAAATCAGGCATCTTGGTTTAAAGTTTGATTGTTATTCTTTGACCGGGCGATTGCTGGAATTGGGATTCTTTTAACTTTGTACAGTTTCTGCAGCAGCAACAAAATAAACTATTTTTCAAATGACAGAAACCGTTCAACATCATTTGTGCAAAAAGTCACTTTATTGGCGAGTTAAATATCTTCAGAATAGCTTAAATACATTCTTTTAACAATGATTTTTAGCAAAAATAAATAAGGATCTGTTTGAGATGAGCTGAGCTTAAACCGATAAGACCTGATGGGGTTTCCCCATCACCAGCTCAGCCTGTACGTGTGAGGGAAGATCTTTTGGTGAAGATACTCCACCATGCTGGTCTTGCTGTGTAGTTTTTCAAATTCGTAATAAGGAATCTAAAAACAAAAGTAAAAATAAATCATAAAATTAAGGAGAGTTAGCAAAAAAAATACATACAAATTGGACAGATGAACCCCCAGAGAACCATGTTCTGCTCCTTTTTAGAAACGCACTTTTCAAACCCCTGCATGAGGAAAATGTGCTTAAAAAGCTGCTTACCTGAACGATTTCATATCCCAGAAGGCGCAGATGTCGCTGCTTGGTGGCTTCTTTTCCAAGCAGCTGCCTCAGGTTGGTGGTGAATCTCTTTGGGCCGTCAATGCACAGAGCTATCCTGCAACACAGGCCGGGGGCTGTTAAAACCTTCTAACCCCCCCCTTAAATCCACCACAGGGTCCAAAAATCCAAAAAAGCGCTCACCTTTTGAACACCTCTTCTGTGTGGCTGGCGGGCAGCACATATCCCTCCTCGTCCAGCTTTATCTCCACATCTACAACAAGGAGCCGTTAGACAGAATGCCGCATTTAGAGGAGAAACTCAACCGAAAGGAGGCGGGTACCCAGAGTGTAGCAGTACGGGGTCAGAACTTTGGATCCGAAGTAGGCGCGGTCGCCCAGCAAATCCACCAGTCCGGTTTTGACGGAGTTGTACAGGTGTGGGTCCACTAGCGTTTCCACCGAGCGACTGGACATGAGGAAGGACTTCACTCTGTACTTTGGAAGCAGCCGTGGACCCTGATGAGGGGCAGGAAAAGTGTGGATGCACGGTTTCATTACACCATCACATACAAACCTCTTTTTTTTTCATCTTAATAAAAAAAATGTTTTCAATCACATTCTTCCTTTTTACACAGAGACATTTTTGTGAATATCAGCATAAATCCGGACATTCCAGTCCCACAATATAAACACTATTCCACAAAAACCAGTGACAATAACCCTGTTTTGCACTTAATAAACTGCTCAACAGGAAAAAGGAAAATTCTACATTCAGCCTTTTTTGTTTGGAATGTATTTTAATATATAGTTTAAATGATTTGTGAAATACTGCACTCTGGTTCTTGGTAAAAAAAAAAAACTTTAAAAAACCCTGCAAACATAAATAATTCATTTCTGATTCCATAACCTATAACAACATGAATGGAATCAACAAGGAGACATCAGTATTCCCATCATTCAGATTCAAACAAATGCAAAATGGCCACACGGGACTGAATTATCACAAAACTACCAAACAGTGAGCCACACCTGCAGTTTTTGGCCTCGTTCCTCTTTACATTTTCTACATACCTTATCCGTAACAAACCCCTTACCTCGTAGAAGGGACATTCCAGCTTCACGGTCATGTAGAGCTGAGTCAGCATGGCCAGGACGGTCCGGTCCATCCCCGCCTCGTTATCTAAAGAGCAGAGGACGACAGGATCACACAAATTTAAATTTAAAATTCCTGACCGGGGGGGGGGGGCGCGGCGTGCTCACCTTGCAGCTGCTGCAGGAAGTATCCGCTGAACACCTTGGAGAAGAAGTTGACGGGGAACCTCTGCACCAGCGTGCAGGCGTGCAGCAGGGCGAGCAGCGCCCGGGGCTGGAAGTGGGAGAAGCGCCGGTGCAGGAGGGACTCCACCTCCCCGAACAGCTGCCCGGCGTTGGGCGGCAGGTAGCCCAGCCTCCCGAAGGCGGCGATCTGCCGCGCCGCCTGGCCCGTGCTGTAGTCGTGGGCCCGGTACACGAAGCTCTCGGCCAGGGCGTCGAACACGGCCGGGGACAGGATCCGCCGCCGCGCGAAGAACTGCGCCACCTTCAATCAAATTCAATTTTATTTTATTTACAGTAGGTGAAATAAGTATTTGACCCCTTCCTGATTTTGCAGGTTTGCCCACTTACAAAGAATGCAACGATCTATAACTTTAATCATATGTGCATTCTAACAGTGAAAGACAGAATCCCAAAGAAAATTCCAGAAAATTCCATCATATGAATTTATAAAAATTGATAACCATCTGATGAGGAAAAATAAGCATTCTTTGTTAGTGGGCAAACTTGCAAAATCAGCAAGGGGTCAAATACTTATTTTCCCCACTGTATATAGCGCCACGTCACAACAACAGTTGTAAATACTAATTATTTATTTGAATATGAAAATATCTTATATCTAAAAAAAATCAGTCACTAAAACATCAACAAGCCGATGTTTTTCTCTATTCCTGGTTTGCTTTATGCAAAAACATTGACTGAGAAAAAGGCAAATCTCACTTTATAACAATGGAAGTTGAGGAAAAATATAGAAAATGAAGATTTTTTTCAATTTTCAATTCAATTCAATTCAATTTTATTTATATAGCGCCACATCCCAACAACAGTTGTCTCACAGCGCTTTCCAAACAGAGCAGGTCAGACCCTACTCTGAAGTTAATTACAGAAACCCAACAATTCCCACCATGAGCAAGCACTAGGCGACACAGGCAAGGAAAAACTTCCTTTTAACAGGCAGAAACCTCGAGCAGAACCATGGCTCAGGGTGGGCGGCCATCTGCCTCGGCCGGTTGGGGGTGAGGGAAAGAGATGGCAAGAGAGAGAGAGAGGGCGAGAGAAGGACAGAGGGAGCAGAGAGAGGCAGCAACACATGGACTAGATGAAAAATGGCAATGATATTAACTCATTGACTGCCAGCCATTTTCAGAACAGAGAGTCCCATACTGCCAGAGTTTTTTGAGCATTTTGACTGATTTTTCAAGAGCCACAGAGTAGTTTGTGCTATGACTATGTAAACACTGAACACACCAAAAGAAAGAGTAGACTCTCTTCTTTCATCAGGAAAAAAAAATGGTTTCTACCTTATTCCGTTCTTCCTCGACTTGCGTCTCACCGGCGCCATTTCTCGCATAGCGAAGCATTACGTTTTTCTTATTTGCCTACAGTCTATGCTCATCTCCAATCAAAAGTGGCACTGTCACTTAGAGGGTCAATTTGTTACTACATACTCTGTCTAGAAGCCTGATATTTACTGACAAGGTTTAGCAGATCGTCCCCCAAGCCACTCTTGTTGAAAAACATAAAAGACGTCTATAGACGTCTTTGGGCAGCCAATGAGTTAATACTAATGATAATGGTAGAAGTTATGACGGCAACAGAGCAGGAACACGGGGGCAGCAGGAGACTCCCAACCACAGACCCAGACCCCACCTTGGAGACGGTCTCCGGGTGGGCGGTGAAGGCCACGGCGGGGACGTGCTTCTCCATGGCCTCCACGAAGTAGCGGTCGCTGTGGCCGAAGTGCATGAGGGCGCCCAGGACCTCGGCCAGCTGCTCGTCGCCGAAGCGGGGCACGTGGCGCACGGCCTGCTTGCACAGGCTGATGACCAGAGGCACGGCCTGCGTCTGGTTCAGGGCCACCAGGGCGCCCAGCAGCCCGCTGACGGCGCCCGGGTCCATGTGGGCGGTGACCGTGACGGCGTGCGTGTGCATGGCGTTCAGCAGGTCCCTGTGCCTCCCGTCCTCCCCCGCGCAGCCTCGCAGAAGCCCGTACGCGGCCACCAGGTCTGGGATGCTCCACCGGGCGGGGTCCTGGTCCCGGATCTGCTCCAGGACCCGCTCCAGCGTCGGGCCGCCGGCGCCCTCCAGGGCCAGCGCGGCGTTTCCCAAGGTGCACAGCTGGGCCACGCCCATCCGGCCGCCGTCCAGCCGGGTCCGGCTTTCGGAGAGCAGCCGGACCACCAGCGAGCTCCGGGGGTCCAGGAACAGGCGGGTGCAGGCCAGGAGGGCGGACACCAGCCCGGCGTCGGTCAGCCGGGCGGAGTCCTGCTCCAGCTGGAAGCACAGCGCCCGCACGGCGTCCTTTTCCAGAACCGCCGGGTCCCTCAGGGCCGGGGCCGAGCCGTCCCGCTCCAAATCGGCCAGGCGGTGGAGGGCGCCGGCGGCCATCGTGTCCGACAGCATCTCCACGGAGCCCAGCAGCCTGAGGACGCCCCGGGAGGAGGAGCAGCCCCCCAGGCGCTCCCGGAAGGCCCGCTCCTCGGAAACCGAGGGCCGATGGAGCTGGGTCAGCCGGATAGGAGGGGCCGAGTCTCTGTGGAGCCCCACGGAGCTGCTGACCACAAACAGGGGCTCCCGGGCGATGGTGGTCAGGGTCCTGGTCCCGGAGGAGGAGGTCTGGAGCTTCCTGCAGCCGTGGATCCTGATGCGCTGGCACAGGCAGGCCGCACACAGCCTGGTATAGACATGTCCGACAGGATGATGACGGATCCCAAACTGTCCAAAAGGGGTCAGACTCTGAATCAGCTTCAGAGCCATGAGTCCCCGGTCCAGGAGTCCCCGGTCCCAGCTGACACACAGACACCCAAAAACAAAAAATAAACAAAAATAAAATTAACAACTGACTAGAGAGAACTGACTAGAGAGGCAAATAATAATTAATTCAACACATTCATGAGACCAGAAAGCTCCAACCCTGAGTGTTCCTGAACCCCTCCTCCGGTTCTCTTAACTAACCAACCTTGAGGGCTGCCACAGACACCCAAAAACAAAAAATAAACAAAAATAAAATTAACAACTGAGTAGAGAGGTCTGTCAGCCAGCAAACAATAGTTCATTCAACACATTCATGAGACCAGAAAGCGCCACCCCTGAGTGTTCATGAACCCCTCCTCCCGTTCTCTTAACTCACCAACCTTCAGGGCTGCTGTTAGCTAACATTAGCTTCTTCTCTAAATTAGCTGCCTAGCTTCACATGCCGCCAAACGGAGTTGTTGTTTGCTTTCTCTTATTAGCCAGTTATAGGGATGAAAAGTTGTTGCACTGTAATAAATGTGTCATTTTTAAAAAGAGGAGGCAGAGAGGAGGCATACCTGGACCCTCGGACGGTTCCGCGGGTCACAGTGCGGCTGACAGCGGTGATGAAACCAAACGTGTTTTCACAAGGAGCGTGAGGCGTTCATGGTGCTCCGGAATTCTGACCATTTCCAAACATTACCAAATCGACCCACTGTTTACCATTGAGGTGCCCAATGCTGAAGGCATCGGGGATAACCTATTACTAATGTCCGTATTTACTCCTGTTTTACAATATGTGATATAATATTAAAATTAATCGCTTATATTATTTATTTTTCCAGATGTTAATATCTATCGTTTTTAGTTTGAATTAAAGCCTTGATGAGAACTTTCTGTCATGGATTTAACTGTTATTTTAGCAGCTTATTTTTTAAACACTAGGTTAATATTCCTGAACACTTAAATGGAAATAAATCTCATCTAAACACATCTGAAATGTATATACCAAATATACCAACTTTCATGGATATTTGTATGATATAGTTGCCTTATATTAGCTATTCTTTTACCATAAAGACTTTGGTAGCTCCAGTTTCAGATCTTTGTGGAGTAAACTGAGCCCCAACACCATGAACCACAACTGAATGAGGTAATAGCTCAAGATTAGCATGTAAATCTGATAGCTGAAGCAGCTCATGCTTCAGTTAGATGAGCAATTTTATTACCAAGGGCCACTCTCAGTATGTTTATTTAAGAAAAACCCATTAACGTATATGAATATCTGGTGAAGTGTAATACACCATCCGGATCTTTTCTGTTGGCCCCTTCAATAAAAACAATCCAGTCTGAGCGAGTCAGCACAGGCTGAATCATTCACTGAGTCAAGATGAGTTCCAGGCCAGACAAAAATCACACTAAAGACCCCAGTAATAAACAAACAAGACAGAATAAAGCAGCTCTTCTTTCAAATGTTGTTTATGGAAGGGAAACGTTCAGCAAAATACAACTTGATAGACAGCTTTATTTAAAAAGTTTACACTATAAAATGTAAAAGTTCAGCTAAACCCGATCACATGGATTGTAAAGTCGTGTCCCTTGGAGCTTCCAAAGTGCTGCCGCCTCACAACTTTACATGACGTTTGGCAAGACTGGAAGTTCACAGCAAACAGAGTGGATAGTTATTGCTTTGGTTTGTTTAGAAAAAAAAACAAACAGGGTTTTTACAGGAGAGTTGAGACATGCAGCACAACGATTTAGCTGACAGCAGAGTTTGGGGGTGGGGGGGGGGGGGGGGTTTACAATCGTGCGTGGCTCTTTAATCGTCCTTATCCTTGGCACCGTGCTTTAGGATGCGTGTGAACTCCACGTAGTTGAAGTTGCTCTTCTTGTCTATGGGAGCCTCCCTGAAGAGCTCGTCCACCTCCTCGTCTGTAAACCGGTCCCCCATCGTTGTGAGCAGATCCCTGAGGTAATCCTCCTGGATGAACCCTGCAGGGAAATCAGATTAGGAGGTCAAATCAGGGAGAATCATCGCCAGATTATCAAAAAATTTTTGGGAAAATATAATTAAAATCTAAATAGACCCTGTGCTTTAACACAGATGTGTTGTGCAGTAATCCAACAGTGTGGTATCAACTGAAGTCATTTTCAACAATAGTTTAGGAGACGCCCGGGCGTGACTGGATTATCTTCAATCATCAAACAGGAGCCACCCTTTGTCTTAAATTACCTGTCCCCTCCTCATCAAAGCAGGCGAAGGCATTTCTGATCACGTCCTCGGGGTCGGTGCCGTTGAGCTTCTCGCCAAACATGGTGAGGAACATGGTGAAGTTGATGGGTCCCGGAGCCTCGTTCATCATGGCCTCAAGGTAGTCTTCTGTCGGATTTTTCCCTGTTGAAAGAAAAATTATAAAAAGGTTAATAACTTTCAACTGAATCTAACAGCTGATCATTTTTTTCCACTTTGCCAAACGTCGATCGTCGAAAGTACAACAACAGCTCTCGTGTTTGGATTCAGTTCATCCTGAAATGAGGAACGCCGACTCACCCAGTGAGGCGAGCATGTCGTGGAGGTCCTCCTTATCGACGAAGCCGTCGCGGTTCTGGTCGATCATGTTGAAAGCCTCCTTGAACTCCTGGATCTGAGACTGGTCGAACATGGCGAAGACATTGGAGGTGGCGCGCTGAGGGCGCTTCTTCGTGGTTTTTCCCTTTGCTCTTTTGCTAGACATTGTGACTGGTTTATTTCTGAAGAGAGAAAAATAAAAGAGAACCGGATGAAGCATTAAAGAATGTAAAAAACTATGGTTCATCTCAGCTATTTGCCAGAAGAGCTGAGCTCTAAAGACAAAGATTACATCAATATTTGTGTCTTTAAAAGCTCTTTGAGTAGTTGGTTCTTTGTCAGACGATTAAATAAACTTTGCAAAGATCCATTTGAATTATTGATCATGGATCTGATCAAATGAATGCATGATTTAATTTCTTCCTGAAGTCATTTTAATCATGAGTGCAAATAATCCAATTTGATTTATAACTTCTTCACAGGCAGTGACACAAATGAGGACATTACACATGAAAAGTAAAAATGCTAAATACATTACAGACAACGCGACACTGCTAATGAAAGAGAGTAGATCACGCTGATACTGGAAATAAGATTTCGTCGGTCAAAGACTCATTGGCAGCCTAATGTAATTCTCTGCCAGCGAATCCCCCCGAGCGCCGTCTCTCGCTGAGCTAAAAATGGAAATGTTCCTCATCTTTCTGGGCTGGTCAGCGCCCTGCTATCACTGGGAACAGGAAAATTGCTGGTGTGAGGACAGATGTCCTTATCAGGAGATGTCTCCCATGTGGAATTTACATGTTCGTGTTGAGACGTGTGTCGATGGGCTGAGTCAATATCATTTACAGATCAAACCCTTCCAGAGATATATTCAATGCAGATGAATAAAGGTCAAAGTTCTTTTTTGATAAGATAAATAGCATAGCTAATGAAAAATGATAACAATAATATATTCCATAGAGAGCAACAATATAGTTAGAAAAAAGTATCCGAAAAAAACATTGAAGTAAACTGTCTTTCAGGACTAAATCACTTCTTTATGATGGTTAATTTTGCGTTTGATAAACAGCTATCTTAAAGGAACTTTACACACACCTTATGATTGATTTATTAGGAATTTAGGAGTGGACTTGCAAAGCTAGCTCAGATCAATGACCTCAGCTCAACATCTGACATCACTACGTAGCTCCACTCTTCCTGCCTTCCGGCCTCTTACCAACCACATTACACACTAAGAATGACCACATGGCTATCTGTAAATATATATATATACACATATATTGTAAAATGAAAGTTAAACACTAAACCTAAAATTGAGAAAGACTCATAATTAGTCAATAAATCCGATTCTACTTTAGTAGCTAACGAGACATTAGCCGCGCAGCTAACAGTCTGCCGTGTTTTCATCGGTACTAACCGAACAATAAAATGAGCAGGTCGACGTGTAATTGCACGTAACTTTCAATGATGGGTGCTTCTTTATGATATATAGCTTCAAGTTAAATCCTTATTAATCAAAGTAATACAAAAGAAGAATGTTTATACTCAGCCTTACCGCCCAACTCGTCAGTGAACTCGATGTTGCTGTTCTTCTCAACCACCGCCCTTCACTTCCTGAACATAATGTTGGTTCCGTACAAAACAGCAGAGCAAACCAACAGAGGGACATGGGGGTTCCTCCTAATTGTGAAACCATTCTTTCTTCTTTATGTTTGAAATAGTAGGATTTATTTTTACTATGGTATTTAACTAAAACATAAAAAGAAATATTTTATTGAATAAGCAATTAAAAATATTCCTTATTATTTAAATGCTTTGGTGGATTTAAGCGTAACACCCCTAAGGGAATAAGTGTAATCGCCCGAAACGCTCCCTTGCCACCGTAGACATTGCTGGATATGTCCTTTTAAGGGAAGAAAAAACTGATGCTCCCGTGTATTGCACAATGCTTTCATCACATCCAGATAAGTTTTACATGATTCCCAAACGAGAATTGGGATAATTGTAAACCAACAAACAAACAAAACATGACCAACAAACATGAATATGAACATATTACAAAGTCAAACTACTATCTGGTTTCACATAAGCAGTAATGGTTCTCACTGTTTTTTCACATCAAGAGGATTTACAACACTTTATTACTCTGCAAACTTTAATATTTATTGGGATATTTCCTAATCTATCAATTGTGCTAATCATCTACCAATCACTCACTTATCCTTTGTTTTAATGTGAAGCTTCTAAAAGCCTTCTACAGTTAGCTGAGTTCTATTTGTTGCTTTAAAAAGGTACTATGTGTTAATTGTGGTCAGTTTTCTTTTGATAAAGAAAGATGTACATATATATTGGACTTTTACCTGCTCAAGCAGAATGAATCATCTAACACCAATAGGATGTTCAAATGAAAAACCAAACAACAAAGGAAAAAATGTTGACGGGGAGGATAATTATAGAGACGGTGGAGCATGTGTGAGTAAGACAACAGTTGGTTCTGCATTGCTTTAATCTGAGGCTTAGTGCTGCAGGACCTCAGAAGTTATATGTTGGACTGTTGAGTCACCGGTTAAAACAGGCCACATCTGTCCTTTGTGTCCAGCTGTCCAGTCACTTTCCAAACTGTTGATAAAATAGATTAAGTTGTTCCTTTCGCTATTTATTGATGTGCATTGCAACTAAACAAACCATTTCAGAAACCGTACAAACAAAAAGGGAAAAAAACAAGCATTCTTGTGCATTCTTCAACTTAGAGTTTTTCTTAGCTTTACAACATTTTGTGTTGATAATGGGAAAATGTTTGACAGGTCAATTTAATCAAATATGAGTCAATATGGAGGATTTTGAGGGAGGTGAAACTAAACTGTTTTAAACCACAAGAGTGCGCTGCTTTCATGAGTAAACTTTCTGTGTGCTCAGATATGTCACAGAACAATTCTTTTTCATTGATCATCTCACAGTATGTCACCGGTCCTGTGTGTCTGCCCAGGGAGTATTTTCATGTCTTTATTGCTTCAAAGGAGCCATAAAGAGCCTCCAAAGTAGCTCACGGCAAACCCCTTTAAACAGCCTACTGTTGGAATTTCCAAAACAGATGGCCTTATCATCTCTTCACATCCTCCGGTTTGTTTGTATCATAGAAAAAAACAGAACAATGCTTTATGTATTTTGGGAGAAGTTAATGCCTTGGGATCGTGTGTTTAGTTTAAAAATGGAGGATAAATTTATAACCGATAATCTTTAGGGTTCATCTCTGAAGCATACTTTAATTTTGATAGGATCTGTTTTAACTTTGATAGGATTTTTTTTGTATGCTATAATTCAATTTTCACATTCATAAGGTTATGGATAGTCCTGCCAATTAAAATAAATATTTTTCTATGAATTAACAGTTTTTTTTATTTAGTAGCTTTACTTTGCAATTACACAAAGCTTTCAGTTAAAAAAAAAACACATTGCCTAATATTTCCTGTCTGATAGCATCTTTTTTTTATTTTAATTTTTACAAGTGAAACAAGATCCAAACAGACAAGCTGTCATTAATTTAAAGGTTATCCATCTTGGCAGTACAAAGCTGTCACATTTGCAACCAGTTAGGTGGCTCGTAGTGTAATGAACTCTGGAAAAACATCCCATATTAATCAAAAAGCGTTAAATATTGAGTCCCTGCCTGGCATCTTGCATTAGCTCAGAATATCATGGCAGGTTAATCTCCCAAAGGCTCACATTTCACGTGCCGGTCATAACGCTTCTGATCTGTTGTCACGCTGACCGTTGTATTATGTGGAACGTGGTGGACGAGAGCCACACGGAAGAGAAATTTATTACTGAAGCGAAAGAAATGATCAGCCACATGTTTTTGTTATGTTGAAGTCAATTTCCAGGACTGTGTCCAGATATCTGTGCCAGTTAGATTAAAACAATTTAACAACTGACCTGTTGTTTCCATTACTCAAGCAGGAAGAACCTTCACGGTCATGTTAGCTAAAACATATTCAGAATTCACCCAGTTAAGTCTGAATTTTTGATTTATTAAGTTTACTTTTAGAAGGTGTTTATGACCGGAGGGGACAAGAGGGGACATACATGTACTTCCAGAAATGAGAGTGAGGCAGAAAGAGAGAGTGACAAGGAGACAGTAACTTGCATTTGTGTAACAATAGCTTAGCTAAAGTTAGCCTCAGTCAGCTGAAGATGCTGCAGTAAATAAAGAAGACAAAAGCTGCCGCTGGTTGTGACGTACTGGGTTAAAAAAAACAGGGGGGGGGGAATCAGAAAAATATCAGGCAGTACTTCAAATGTAAAAAAAAAAAAATTCAATAAAAAAAAAGGGATCAGACCTGATCCAAGAAAAATAGGAAGAATATTGGATTTTTTTTAGCCTGAAGTCTTTCTTTGGCCCCTCAATAACATATGAAGGAAAAAAAAACTGAAATTATTTTGATCACATTAGCGTGCAATAAGTCAAAAATATATTTTGGTGTAGTATTCTACTGGCTGTTATCAGGTAGCCTATATCTGAAGGGAATTTGAGCAAAGCTTTTACCACTGAATGATGCAAAAAGTCTCAGATCCAAAAGACTTCAGAAACCGTATGTATCAAATATGATACATTTGGCATTATGGGGTTAAGCTTTATAAGAATCTGGATGGCAGGATTGTGTTATATTTTTCAACTCAGCAGTGATTCAAATAATGTTTTTATATTATAAAAGAGATATTTGATTGGATACTTTCAATGCATGAATGAAATGAGGAGCAAAAATAACAAAAAAACTGAAAAAAGAAAAGAAAAGGCAGCCTTGTGTTTACCTACATATAGTGCTATATGCTCATTGGCACGAAGCCTTGCATCCATAAATGTGTTGCCCCCCACCCCGGCTCTGCCCTGGGCTATATTTACCTCCACCCTCACCATAAAAGGCTGCGACTGCCGCTCGGACATTCTGGCAAGGGCCAACATTATTTTTGTTGTGTGGACCGCAGCACTGCGTGCGCCTACCTGTGGGTTTACTGGGGCATCAAGCTGCTGGAGTGGAGCTGGAACATCTTCTCGTTTAAAGCTTGGAGTTTCGGGGATTTCGTACAGGGTAAGTGGCCGCCGGGGGGGTTAAGACCAGAAATGCCGGGTTGTAGTTGTGCACACGTCTGTCTGAGCATGCTGAGAAAGTGCCTGATTGCCTGAAACATACAGTGGGGGAAATAAGTATTTGACCCCCTTGCTGATTTTGCAGGTTCGCCCACTTACAAAGAATGTTTATTTTTCATCATCGGATGGTTATCAATTTTTATAAATTCATATGATGTGATTTTCTGGAATTTCCATTGGGATTCTGTCTTTCACTGTTAGAATGTACATATGATTAAAGTTATAGGTCGTTGCATTCTTTGTAAGTGGGCAAACCTGCAAAATCAGCAAGGGGTCAAATACTTATTTCCCCCACTGTATATGTCTTGGTAGATGTTGCAGAATTGAATTTACATATTAAACGCTTCTAGTATCTACCAATAAAATGTATTTCGGAAATTTAGATGGGTTTAGTTTTACCTATTGAGAATAAGATTAATTTCCTCTTCTCAATATATGACAATTAAAAAGCGAAGGCTATGGTAAAGCTACTGTGTATGAAGTTAACAGTGAATCTACCTACCCTTGAACACTAACAAGACAAAGAAACAGACAAGAAGAAACCTCGGGGCCTGAGCGAGAAGGGGCCTGCACTATGTCTGGATCCATACCCTTCTACCAGAAGCACCACCGCCACTACGACCGTGGCTACCGGAGCTTGGAGGCGGAATCCAAAATGAGTCACTACCAGGCCAGCAGCAGCAGCAGATACGCTGCCGCCAGCATCACCTCTGCCAGCACCAGGAGCAGGGGGTAAGGAGGAGGAGGAGGAGGAAGGGAAGATGGAGGATCAGGCCTTCATCGATCCACTTCCATTGTCCCGGGAAAAGCCTTGCTACCTCCCTAACACCACCTCCGTCCCTAACCCGGCTCATCAGGTTCACCTCTGTCCCCCATGTTGGATCACTTCTTCACCGTTGCTTTGGGATCATCTTTCCTTGACACCAAGTAACCACATTTCTACCCCCCCCCCCCCCCCCCAGTTTCCTTTCAATTTTGACCAACCTTCAGCTGAGGATTAAGGCTCTTAACAGCAACTTTAAACAGCTCTAGATCCTGCATGAAGCTCTTTGCATACTGCCAAAGGGATGCTCCGTGTGCTCTTATGCATGTTCAGGCTTGCCTATAACTCAATCACCCCTAAAGAACCCCAGTTCTTTAGTTTGCACTCCATTTCAGCACAAAACGGATGGCTGAAGACATCACATTGATAGTTAAGATGTCGGACACATGGTGTTGTGGCTTTATCTACGATAGTCTGTAGAACTGCGCATTGTATTGTCAAAGTAAAAGGTGAAATGAGTTGTGTCATGTTGGTAGTAGTTTATTTTTTCCACAAGTGGTTTATTTTCTTATCCAGTTAGTTAAATGCATCAGTCGCACGTCTAGAATTTGGAGAGGAAAGCATCTGGTTTATGCGATTGCTTAATGGGGACGACTATCGCTGCAGTTTAAGAAACATTAAGCTAACTTCATGAAATACGATGAAAATAAAATGAGCGCCGCCACAAAAATGTCTGGATGTTTGAGGTTGTCCTATTTGAGGGCAAAAAACATAAACACCCACCTCAAGGAGATCCTATCAGTGTCGTTTAAATCCCTAAATACTCTGGTCCGGACTCTGTGAACAGGTCAGAGAGCTTAGGTTTTACTAACACTCCCATGGCCACAGAAGGGCAACTCATTACCACCAAAAGTATTATTGATGCAAGGAGGAGAGTCGGATTTAGGTGTGACGATAAGTTAACTGTCAGGATGGGAGCATTAAAACAGTTACTGGCTCCATTGGTGAACATGAACCTAGAAAGTCCATCGAATGTATGCAGTGATACCCACAGGGAAACTGACCCAGATAGATACGGGAAAAATGAGGCCAGCTGCCCAGTCACCCGCCTTCCTCCTGTCCTCTTATCAAGTTCTTGTTCCCTTGGAGTTACGTATAGCGTTCCCACAGAAAAGCTGTGTGGTCCCTAATTTACGCCTGACAGTACAGGGGGAAATCATAGAAAAAAGCAATAACGTGGTTTAACTTTGCAAGTATCTTCCACCAAAGCTGATGGAGGACACATATAACAGGTTCATTTTGGCTGTAGGACTGGCTTTACTCTTGGATTTGTGGTTTTGCTGTGTGTAACCGTCGAAAATTCAGACAGAAAGTGGCTCTGGTGGCCTTTCGGTAGCACCCGTATCTGACATCTGTTAATGATATCAAAGACGGAACAGCTGAGGATTAAAGAGGTGTAAACATGCCGCAATAAAAACTAAACAGTTTCCAACACTACCCTTTAATATATTACTAATCCACTCCCGGCTTTAGCTTCCTCCCCATCTTCACACCGTGTCCCACTGTCTGGCCCTGAGCCAGACTGATGATTTTCTGTATGTCTCAGACTTAAAGTGTCTTCCCACTCGGGGCTGGAGGAGAGCAGACTAAGCCCCATAACCAAGAGAGCCAAGCCATCCTACTTGGCTGTGGACAAAGAGAACCAAATCATCGGCTATGTAGTGCCTATCTTCAGGGGCAGGTAACCCAACGTTCTCCGTGTAGAGCCTGTAGTCAAAGAATGTTAGAAAATATTACAGGTTTAATGCTGTGCCCTTGCCTCCCCCCTAAATCTATCCCCCGTAGTCAAGAGTTTGCTACGGGATTGTCAGATACAGAGGAGGCCAGAGTGAGAGACACTGCCGCCTACATGGCCCGCAGAAATTTGTTCACCAGTGGTGTGGAGATGGAGCGGTCAGAGCTGAGCTCCAGGAGGGAGGCTATGCGCGAGTCGGCCGAGCGCATCTCTCTCAACAAAAGGGTCAGTGCCGGATTTTCCTGCTGCTTTCGGATCGCACGAGGCAGCCACGTTCAAAAGAAATGTGAAGGAATGGCTTCAGGTCTCAGGTCCTATGACCTAGCCTTGGTGCGTAGTGAGTGGATACTTAAAGTAGCCGTCGGCTTCACTTTAGTTTTTTGGAGTGATTGTAAAGACTGATAGATATCTTAAAACGGTCAACACGCATTTCATCCATCTCTCTCCAAACTTGTTTGACCAATTTTAACAAAGCGCCAGAGAGATGGGGCCCTCTTTAATTTATGATAACATACCATGACTGAACACATTAGTAATTAGAAAAAATAAGACAGTTTATCTTCTTTAGTCAATGGTTACATTTTTGGCTTTCGAGTTACTCTCAAGCCTGGTGATGGGGAGCTTTAAAAACAGTACAAAACAATCTGCATTCAGTGGTTTTCTGATTTTATTGGAACATCATATTATGTATCTGTTATATGTTTTGACTTCTTGCAAAATTACTGCTTCAATACCAGTCAGTTGCAGCACTAAAATCCATGAAATCAAAGCAGGAATTATCCTTCCTAGCAGCATAAACTGGACCTTGAAGCCCCTTTAAGCATTATCTTATCAGCTAACTGTACCCAGTAGCCAGAAAGTAGTGTGTTTCTTTTCCTTTCGTGATACTGCAGACACTTGTGACATGACAATATTGCTTTTAGCAACTCTGCTAATACTGTAAACCAATGTACATGTGTATTTTCTGCCTGTATGATAAACAGACCAACCACAGCTATAACATCCCACTACAAATCCCATTTTACGACACCACAAAATACCTTTTATTTACACTTCCAACGCAGAGAAAAAAATAGAATTGAAGACTTTTCGAAACATCCTCATAACGCTATTATGTTTCCATCTTGGCTTAACTGACCTCAATTAATTGCAGTGCTCAGGGATGTCAAGTGCCTGTGGATAAGTGGCTTTCATTACTCCCCCGACACAAGGGAGTTATTTACGTCCGTGGGTGATTATGTGAAGTGGTAACCAGTGATTCCGCGAGCATCGCCGCAGTCACGGTTACGGCCTCGCTGTGTTTATCTGTCTCCACTGTGCCAGACAGACTCACCGGGGAGTGACAAATTCTTCAGGAGATTGCGTGTCTTGAGACACTGGGAGGCAGTTTCCTAGTGGGGTCGTCGTGCTACGTGTTGAACGAGGCACAAATAGACACCCTCAGCTATTTATATGACATAATGAGCGACATTTCCACACACCTATAACACGCGTCTGCAAATAAGTGTGTCTTGCATGTGTGAAACACACAAAGACACATGGGGATTTTTCTTTTATTTCCAATTTGTGGCTGTAAAAGCTTTGCTTCATGTCCGCATGTGTGTACAGTACTGTGAACTCCTTTTGAAAGTATTGTTTGGTTGGATTGTTCACCGGTGGCAAAGGTTACACCGTCCTGAGGGGTTTACTCTGCCGCTTTTAGATCCATGAACACGGGGAGCACTTCAAGCGCATGAACCGAGACAGCCTGATGCACGCCCCAGAGTTTGTGATTAAGCCCCGCTCCCACACGGTGTGGGAGAAGCAGTCCGTGCGGCTGCACTGCACCGTCAGCGGTTGGCCAGACCCCAGGGTCACCTGGTAGGCCTCAAACACACCCACACACCCACACACACACACACACACACACACCCTTCAATGTGACCTGTCCTTTCTGTCCTATCAACATCCTCCTCATCCCCCCTGAGATCCAGCCTTGTTTTCTTCCCCCGTTATCTTCGATCCTTTTCTAAGCCCGCTCTGATTCCCCTTTTGCTTGGGCTTCTGTCTTGTTCTCTGCTTCACTCTATAAAGGTACAAAAACAATGTGACAATCGACCCCCTCGCCAAACCGGGCAAATACAAGCTCGAGAGCAGATACAACGTGCACTCGCTGGAGATCGACAGGTGGGTGGAGCTCAAAGATTTTCATAGATGTAGAGATAGTTTGTTATGGGCGACTGACCATGTCCACCTAACCGATTTGAAAGACGTTTGTTTGTATTGAAATAGCTCAGTGTGGTTACAAGGAAAAAGAGGAAGAAGAAGAAGAAGAAGAAGTAGAAGAAGAAGAAGCACTTTTAAAACAACTTACATTTGAAACAACTTACACTGAAAAAACACTTTCTGGGTATTTACATGCAACACTTTCTGCTTCGGACAGTTGTTTCCTCACTGGACATTATCTCTCTCCACAGTCCAGGTCCCGGTCGCTTCACTATGTAGTCACGCCATGTTACACAGATCCACTCTGTGGAACTATCTGACACAGAGGTGGTGTGGTACAAACATCCGAAAGCGAGCTTTTTTTCGATTTTACTTTTCTTTTTTTGGGGTGAGTTTTGTCTGGCGACATTCCGTAAAGGCTCAGTAAAACCTGGGATTGACTATCACTCCATTTCCACATATTTTCATCGGGCATTTAGACTTTTATTTGCAGGGAACGGTGTGAACAGTTTCTTGTTTTTCATGTTGGGAGATGAAAAGCACATGTAGAAGAGGGTCCAGTAGTTATGAGCCATGAAAAAGCTGTTGACTCCTCCTGACTTGTCAATAACTCCCTGAAACATATCGAAACATTTTCCTGATCACCACAGACAATTGAGACCCCTTCCATGTATAGCCCTGTATCCTATTATTTAGTTCAATAATGAATAAGAAAATAATAACAAAAAATAAGGTTTCATTTTCTCTCATGTTGTGTGTCCTCAAGTTTAATTCCCAGTTCCTGTAATGTTCTTCAAACAGCCGATACTTTCTGCAGAGGGCCCACAGCACCTGGTGCCAATTACATCACCAGTAACGGCTATTTATTGCCGTTGCGTTCTTGGCTCCGGGTTTCTGAATGCTGTACAGTGAGGACTCACATAGCCAGTGTTATGTACATGACCGAGGGGTCTGAGGTTGAGGTGGGGGAAGGGCACCCTACGTAGGAGGCAGAATGCGCGGATTCTTGACTCTGATCAGCTGATGCTCTCCTCTTTCAGATGCGATTTTGATGACACGGCCCAGTATCACGTATCTGCCACCAACTCTGAAGGAGAGGAGTCTGCGTTTGCTTCGGTCGTTGTGAAAAGTAGGATTCCTCACAGATTTCTCACTCTTGCGACACCAAAATGGCGACACGCCTCATGCAAAAGCACATTTTTAAAGTCTGTGTGTAGAAACCGAGGCCCATTTGAAGAGGCCTCTCATTCGAGCCTCATATAAGACAGTACGTTCAGTCCAGTGTCATACAACACTGAGCTGTGTGTATTAATAGCAACCGCTGCTTTTCTCCACAGGGTTCAAAGGTGAAATTGATGAGTCTCTGCCAGCACCCAGACGTAAGTGTGTATTTTCCATGTCAGTTATAAGATTCCCGATTAGCCACTGATGGGTACAAATTTAAGATGAAACCAATGTAAACTTTTATGATTTACTGCTAACTTATGTTAGCAAAATAGCTAAACCCAGGCTTCATTATCATTAGTAGTTGCACATCTAGTCGTACAAGATGAAGATCAGGCATTTGACTTCTCCCGGATCTCACGGATATCTAACAACTCTTAGTTGAAACTTCTTTATGAACCAGCAAAATTCTAACCATTTCTGTTAAAGGCGTCTGCTGCTGTTTGAGGCCAAATGTTACCATCAGAAATCAATCAGTGATCCCACAATTATGCATTTTCTCAAACAAGCCACCATCAGACTCCATCACTCTACCCAAATGGGGCTGAAAGGCTTGACGAGGCCAAATTCATGCATGGTTATGTTATATCCTACACAATAAAAAGGTTTATATTGACATGGGTTCTTATATTCAATGTCGAAATGATGACACAGCGCTTTTAATATGGTCAAATGATGTTGATGATCTCGCTCGAGTTGCCTTTGACTTCCTGATCTCAAATGTGAGCGGGGCGGTGGGAGGTTGGGAGGAACAATGGGCGGTTCTTCTCTAACAACTTCTTTGTTTCTTTGCTGCTCCGACAATGCAGAGGCCGTTACTACAGGTAACAGGTTCACAGGAGTCTGGTTTGAAAAACCCTCTCATGAACAACTGTTTCCATACATGTCTATGCATGACCACACTTGTATGTGAAGAACGTCACAGTTTAAGTTCACCATTTGCCTGGAATAGTCTAGATCTTAACTAGGCTGGAAAAATTTTAAGATTTAAATTTTAAGATTTTTCCGTATTTCTGAATGGAAACTGGCACTCTAGTGGGATGCAACTCTGTGAGCACATGTTTTTGTGTCATTTCCGACAAAGGGTCATGCTACGTTTTCATGAACTGTTGAAGGTTTTTTCTTTTTTTCACACAGCCGTCCTGCCATGATTTGTCTCATTTAGTCCCTTCAGCTTTATCTTCTTTCATAATTGAATTGTAGAAGCTTTTAAATGTGTACAAAAAAAACTAATCAAAATAGATGTCACGTGTCCTGAGTTTCACTGTTTGATGCATGACACAGTATAGTTCCCCCCCCCCCCCACTGTCCTTCCTTGAGCACTGTACTGAAGCCACTCTTTTGGTTTGTGTTTGTGTTGTCACCGTGTTTCCTCTCGATTTGACAATGACATGATCATGTCTCGTCTCATTCAGTGAGGAGCAACTTGTCCGTTTATTAGATTTTTCCCACTTGTCTAAATCTGGAAGGTGCGGTCTTGGTTGGTCTTTTGTGTAAACTGTGATACCAGCCAGACGTCTGAAGGCCGCTTTCTCTCTAGATGGCCCGATTTCCGAGTATGGGATCACCTTCCAGACTCACATTGTCGATAAGTTTGGCGTGTCCTTTGGAAGAGAAGGTGAGACCATGAGCTTGGGGTGCACCGTCATCATCTACCCTTCCCTGAATCGCTACCAGCCGGAGGTCCAGTGGTACAGAGATGGTACGTCCTGTCCTACGACATTCATTACTGCCACGCTGTTGAAGATCCTTCAACTTGATTTAGGGTGCACGGGAAAATAAAAATCCTCTTCTTCCTTATTTTTTCTCCATGTCAGATGTTCTGCTGTCTCCCTCTAAATGGAATCACATGCACTGGAGTGGTGACCGAGCCACTCTGACACTCACACACCTCAACAAAGAGGACGAGGGGCTCTACACCATGCGCGTCATCACCAAGTCGGGATATGAATCCTATTCGTCTTACGTCTTTGTCAGAGGTGGGTGGGTTTAACTCTCTTTAGATTTTGTAAGAGGATATGGTTTCTGTATCTTTATGTTGTCCGAGGCATCATATTCAGGCATCTCGGAAGTTTTAAGAAATTCCTTTGAACCACAAGTTGTCAGACAACTGTCAGACATAAATGAAATCTTGGTAAAAATGTCTTGTCCCTTAGCAAGTACACACAGGTGGATTCCCTCAGCTCTGTTTTAGTCTCATCGGATCAAGGTCACAGTCACAAAAGCATGTCCACTGGCACCTGATGATAATACCAATTTGACCGATGAGCTTCTATGTCTGTGAGTGGTTTTAAATAGGATATCTCTAATGGAGACACCGCTGAGCAGCAAGGCTCTGGCATCTGTTCGAATACCATGGAAAAAAGCGGTCAGTCAAGCTTATCTTTGTTGCTTTCAGGGACAACCTGACCTTTGAGGCCTCAGTCTCTAAACAGAAACCATGACAGGAATGCGGGTACTAGAAAACAGACCCCCCTTGTTTCCTCGTCAGTTCAGGGACACCTCGTAAAAATACACACAGCACGGTCTCCAAAACAAAGCATCATAATCCTGTTATTCTCAGAAGGGCTCGGTGATGGAACCAATCTGCCTGTGAGCGGAGTGTCAGTGTCTGGAGAAACTGCCAGGTGTTTGGTTTCTTAGTACCTTTACGAGCCCCAAGACATCAGCTGCCTCACTCCTTTTGTTGTAAAGTACAAGCTTTGAGGCGTATTGCCTCGTTGTGAGATCATTTCAATTTTGAAACATATTTAGATCACTATAGAACAGTTTGCAGCTCGCCAATCACGATTTCTTTAGGGTGTTTAGAAACACAAAAGGAGATTACTAAACAGTATTTAACAGTTTTTGACATGCTGTCTTAACATTTTTTCTAATAGCATGCTATTCTCATTACGTGAAAGGATCTATGAGGCAGAAAAGATGTTTGGGCAGGAATCCTTATTTCTCTTTTTCTCCCCTTCTTAGGAGTGTTATGTACCACATGGCATTCATTCAGCTTTCAAATATGTGCTCTGTCCTTGAAGGGTTTCTGTAGGAAATCAATTGCAGTAATAAGTAGACTAAGATCTTCCGCCCATGTAAAAGTCGTTAATCTCTTGCAGTGCCAAAGCCTAAGTCTGGTGCTCCTTTCCAAACAAATCATTACACTCATACTGCTGAGTTAGAGGGTAACATTTGTCATTAGTGCCATGTGGCAGCAGGTTCACTCCTTTAACTTGTCAAACTTTGGTCAACAGTGAGGCTCACAGACTTTACCCACAGACTGTAGCTTGTGGGGGTTGTTGGAGCATCAAGCTAACAAAGTCCCTGTTTGATAAACCACTGACCATTCACGTCGACTGCCCTGTTGGGGTCCTCACTGTGTGTGTTAGATTCTGATGCTGAGGTGGAAGGTGCTCCCGGAGCTCCTCTGGATGTGCGCTGTCTGGATGCCAACAAGGATTACATCATCGTCTCTTGGAAGCAGCCGGCTGTCGATGGAGGAAACTCCATCCTGGGCTACTTTGTCGACAGGTAATTTGATCTGTTTTTTCCAGTTTGTTTAAGAAAACTTCTTTAAAAAACCCTACACCTCAACTTCTGTAGCTCACTCAGAAAAGATTAAACGCGCTCGAAATGAAAGGGAAAGCGTAAGTGTGACCGTTTTTTTAAAAACATTTCTGCCCAGGTGTGAAGTTGGAACCACGCACTGGGTTCAGTGCAACGACACTCCCATCAAGTTCGCACGCTTCCCCGTCACCGGATTGGTGGAGGGTCGCTCGTACGTCTTCCGCGTGCGCGCGGTCAACAAGAGCGGCATGAGCCATCCGTCCAGAGTCTCTGACCCCGTGGCTGCCATGGACCCGGCCGACCGCGCCCGCATGAGAGGTACCGCCGGCCAAGAGTTTAACCGGTCAGCTGAATGTCCGGTAAAAGCCACCGATCTCTGTACGTACATGGTGACAGGTCGGTAGTCAAACAGGGCCCAGATGCGGAGATCGAATTGACAAAGGTTTTATCAACTCAAAGCGCACTTGCAAGGAGTGGAAACAAAGTAGAAAATAAAGATCGCTCAACGACGATGGTTTCAGAAAAGTAACAAATCAGGATCACTCGAAATACGAGGATTGCAAAAAGCTTTGAATAAAATAATACTCACGGGAGTAAGACAAAATAAGGAGGATCAAAAAACAAAATCAGTCTTTCGAGGTATAACTATGGCTCAAGGAAAGGTATAACTATGGCTTTGGTTGCTCAGTAGGATGTGGGACGAAACACCAGACAAGGGGAAACGCAGACTATTTAACATGAAGGGAAGGGAACCCCAGGTGAACACAATAGGTGATCAGGAAGACAATTGGACAGATGACACACCGGGAAGTACAAGTGACCTGAAATGAGATGAGGGTTACTTATAAAAAACAAACAGGAATGACGAGACCACATGGAGACAGGACAAAAAACCCCAGCTAGATCACACCGCTGTGAGACATGGAGATTTATCCAACCCAACTTTGTCTACAAAGAGAGAAACCCCAGTTATATTTAGACAAATGACCAACTACTGGATCGGTTGTCTGATCATCTCTACGTTCTCAGGCACGTCTGCGCCCTGGACCGGACAAATTATCGTCACAGAGGAGGAGCCTGCAGGTAAAATAATACCACTTCATTCTGCAAGTCGGTCCGTTTTTTCCTACGTCTTTGTTTTGAGTGGTAACGTTGCGTTTTGACCATCAGAGGGTGTCGTCCCTGGCCGACCCCGTGAGCTGCAGGTGACTGAGGCGACCAAAAACTACGTGGTGCTGAGCTGGAAGCCACCCGGAGAGAAGGGCCTTGAGGGTGTGATGTACTATGTGGAAAAGGTGACAATCCGACTAAACACTCACCATTTTTGAGTAAAAGTTTAGAATTTCTTTCTGATTTTTTCTTTTTCTTCTTGGTTTGCCAGTGCGTTTCCGGCACAGATAGCTGGCAGCGGGTAAACACCGAGCTCCCTGTAAAGTCTCCTCGCTTCGCGCTGTTCGATCTCGCCGAGGGGAAATCCTACAGCTTCCGCGTCCGCTGCTGCAACTCCGCAGGCGTCGGCGAACCGTCCGAACCAACTGAAGCCACCACAGTGGGGGACAAGCTTGGTGAGAAAACGCACGAAATAAAAAACAGTCCTGTCCAAAAAATCCTCATCAATTCAGAAGCATAGATACTGGAAGCCATTATCTTATGTTGGAAAAACGCTATGCGATACTGTCTCACATCAGAAAATGTCAAATGCTGTCATCCTTAGATATCCCATCTGCTCCAGGAAAAGTCGTTCCCACTAGAAATACAGACACATCCGTTGTTGTCAGCTGGGAAGCCTCCAGTGATGCCAAAGAGTTGGTGGGTTACTACATTGAGGGCAGTATTGTGGGCAGCGACGTTTGGGAGCCGTGCAACAACAAGCCTGTAAAGGCCACCAGGTGAAATGCCCTCTCTGTCTTTTTAATCCAAGTCTCAGGAAATTCAGATAGGTCTTTTACCTCAAGAGTTGGATTATCTTCCCCTGCAGGTTCATCTGCCATGGGCTGATGACGGGAGAGCACTACGTGTTCAGGGTCAGGGCCGTGAACGCGGCGGGTCTCAGCCAGTTCTCCCCGGAGTCGGAGCCCGTGGAGGTGAAGGCTGCCATTGGTGAGTGAAATGGATGAATCACACCATAAAATCACCACTATGGAATCCACACAGAGGCCAGTGGCAACAGTAGAGAGTCGTTTTTTCTCAGGGTTACAGGTCATTCCTCCTCTGGTGTTGTACAGCTCAGTCAGTTCTCCTGCATATATTAAATATTAACATAAATTGTCATAGGATGATTAGAGGAAATGTTTTAAAATATATGGAAAAGATAACAGTAAATGGAAATGCTTATTGATTTGAAAAAATGGGATTTAAGCAAAACAATGGTACTAAATTTACATAAAATCCACAATGCTATTCTAACTAAATTGAATAAAAATCTGAATTTGGCAGAAGTAATCATTTACGTGGAAGTTGAATATGCAGTGTGTTCTAAGTTATTATTGTTTTCTTGAAAAATGTCTTCAGCTCAACCATCAGCATCCACACTCCCACACTTTCTCCACGGTTCCGCTCTGTTTCCCCCGTCATATTATTCCACTCTGCTGTGTGCTCCACCCCACCGATACCTCCTCCCTGCCCGGGGTCGGGGTCAGGACTTGTAGACTTCCTCTACTTTGGGTCACTTCGATCCACTGCAGTGGTTGTTACAAACCAGCCCAGTATCACACCACCGCCTTCACCCTGTTTTCCCCCCTTCCCTATCCCGGGCACACGATGTGTCCAAAACTTCACACGGTGCCAAAGGTATCAACACTTGAACCTCTTCCACCCCGACAGAAGCTAAAGACTGCTCTGAGTTATCCTGATACAACCTCCGTGCTCCCTGCTAACCTGGCAGCCATATTGTTCTGTCACAGTCTTTTATGTATCGATTAAATCAGACAATATTTGAAATCTTCATTTATAGATGCACGTACATCAGTTACAAAAAAACATACACCATGTAATAAAGCAGATTAATTGAACAAAAATCAAAAGTTACTGCTCTTGTCACCATGTTCATAGGTGCAAAATGCAGTACAATTATATTAGCTACCAAGCTAGCTAATAGCTAACAGCTAGCTTGGTCAGTGAGCAGAACTGAAATAAAGTCCGAAATATTTTTTTCCACCTGCAAATTCTGATGCCTGAGGTAAAGGCAACACAAAAATAACTTAGTCATCACTTTTTAGAAACACAGAACAAGTGTCACTGATCATTAAATTAGGACCCTCCACCCCCATTTATAGTTTACATATAAAAGACTACAAACAGGCAAGCCAGTAACAGAAACAATGCTGCTTTTGTAATAATTGTGCCTGCAAATCCTGCATATGTTCCCGTAAAGTTTCTCTGCCTGATGCAACAGCGCTCCCTACCTTTGTCCGTCACACATTCAACGGTCAGCTTTGTGCTGAGCCGCATGGTTTTCCCTCACAAAGTCCTCTTGGTCTGGATGCGAGTGTAATGGAATAACATGTTTACGTCTTATAATCTATCTATAGCACATTTTAACACAGAGAACCCTTTTTCCAAATAGTTACTGTAAGATAGTAGTGTTATCAAATATGAGAACGAAGAATATATAGAATTTATCTGAGAAAAAACAATGATAATTTTTTTGTTCGAGCTTATCAAATATGAGAACCAAGAATGAATCAAATTTATCTGTGAAAAAACAATGATCATTTTTCTGTTCGAGCTTATCAAATATGAGAACCAAGAATTAATAGAATATATCTTGAAAAAACAATGATCATTTTTCAGTTTGAGGTTGAATTAAAGAAGTTATTTTATATCGATTGCCATGAAACAGCATATTTTTTTCATGACAGGCCAGTGCAAAGCTGCATTCCCACTCTCTTCTGCTTGTCTCTTCTGCATGCTTTCACGTTTCTAACGAGTCCTCTCCATGTGGATGTCACCTGTCGGCCATCTTGTCTTCATTTTCCCTCCGAGTCAGATGAAGACATTGCATTGTATCTGATATGCTGATGTGATGAGCATTGCCCTTTTGTTTGTTTGTGCTTTCTTCTGTATCTGAATGTTCTGAGATCAACATGCAAACCCGTGGATGAATCTTCTGCCTGTTTTAAAGCGCTTCCTCTGCTTCTCTTTGCTGACACCCATAGGGGGCGGCATCCCACATGGTGTGTTGCAGACGATGGGGCCGGGGGGTAACGCTCGCCGACTAACAGAGCACAGACCACTCTGGACGGGCTCGCATGACACTGTCCAGTCTCTCCCCGACACTGTCCGAAAGCGCTGTAGAGCTGGGGCTGACACTGAGCCAGAGCCCCGGGACACTGGGAGCAAGGGGGACCAGAGTGGTGGCGTGTCCCGGGCCCCTGACCCGGTAGAAAACCAGCCCTCGGGGTCAGACTTGGTTTCCGAGGCGCTTACTGACACGAGCACGGCCGCGCACTTTGAGAAAGCCCCCCCCGAGCTTAACAGTCAGGGTGCAGAGGCACGTAAGTCCCCCGTAGATGTTTCTGCCGATCAGGAAGGTGCAAAGCCGAGGACAGAGCCAGAAGGAGGTGAGCACCGGTTAGACAAAGATTGAACATCTTCAATAGTGAAACTACAAAAACAAAACAAAACAGGAAGTTCCACCATGTAAAAGTGAGAAACCCCAATTTTGCCGTTGGTCCTGCACAGCTCAAAGGTTTATCATGTCAAAAAATCATAAGCAGTTGGTGAATTCTCCCCGAGATGTTCTCCTTTTTAAGGTAAGTGACTATTAAACAACACCAGATTACGGCTTAACTCCACAAAGTCCCCAAACTCACTCCTGACTCATTGTTAGTCACCTCGGTCCCCAGCGCACTTTAACACACAAACACACAGAAGTAGGCCATGACAGGAGGCCTCAACCACCACAGGAGCAGGACACCCAACCCGACCCGACACCTTTCTTGGTTTGCACTTCCTCAGAAATCCACCTCCACTCTGACTCACTTCTCTCTCCCCAAATCAGGGGAGGGGATCACGTTCACATGACCGTCTAAGGCCTGTCTTCTAAAGCCACTGTGTGGTTTGTTGATAGAAATGTGTTTGGCTTTACGATGCTCTTGGCTAGTTACTTTTTTGTTAAGGTTTAAATGTTTCACATTAATTTCTTCCGTACGACAGTGTTCCCAAAGCTGAGGTGTTGTATGTTATATGAACAAAACTAAATGTGCTCATTTTGCTATACATCTAAAAGTTAAAATGATCTGAAAGAAAATGTGTCTGATGTTGAATTAGTTTAATTCTATTTCTACTTATTTACTCAAATAGGTTCTGAGCAGAGTAACTCGATCCCGGTTTAGTGAAACCATGAGATGAGATGATGTAATATCAAATAAAAATTCTTCATATTTCACTAATGGGAGAGAACCGAGTTCTTGTAGGTCTGTTAAGAGGTGTAAACAGATTTAGTAATGGAACACTCACATTTACAGGCATTTCTAAGAGCAAAGATGAGATTTTTTAAAATAGTTATTATTCCCGTTTCCCATGACATCACCCTCTCTGATGGTGTTAATTTGAGTCCTGTGTCTCAGCCTCGCCGGCCCCTCCCTATGGCATCACCATCTTGGAGTGCGTGCGCGACTCCATGGTGCTGGCCTGGAAACAGCCGACCTTCGTGGGAGGCGCCGACATCACCGGCTACTTTGTGGATTACCGCGAGGTCATCGACGGCGTGCCGGGGAAGTGGCACGAGGCCAACATAAAGGCCGTCAGCGACAGGGCCTACAGGGTGAGCTGAGGCTGGACTCGGGGGTGACTTTAGCCAGGCCACCTACCAGCAAGCCAACCTTTGCCTACTTTTGGGGGTTTTTTTTCCGTTCCCAGGTGTCCGACTTGCGGGAAAACATGAAGTACCAGTTCCAGGTGCGAGCCGCCAACATGGCCGGCGTCGGCGTCCCGTCGTTGCCTAGCAACACCTTCCTGTGCGAGGAGTGGACTATTGCAGTGCCAGGTTGGTGAGGCGAACGATGCGGAAATGCTCACTTGATTTTAGCTTGTATAGCAACAATATCCTTGATTTTTCATTTATTTATTTATTTTTTTACCTTGTCCTGTTCAGCATTATGGCAGCAGAACTGAAATCTGACTACCGTGCTATGCTGAATAAAATTGCTTTACCAAACTTACATGTGTGTAATAATGCCGAACCTGACAGAGGGACAGGGAAGAAAGAAGAGCAGTGGAAAGGAGAGAGATCCTTTAGAAAGAAAGAGATAGGGAAAAAAAGAAAGAAAGACAACAAGACCATACAACCAGCTGCTATGTCTGTAAAAAGGTCACAGTTCCTTGTGGGCAATCCGGGTGGAGAACCTGTAAGAGCTCCTGCAAAAGGACACAGGGAAGACAAAAGATCAATCAATCAATCAATCAATCAATCAATCAATCAATCACTCAATCAATGTTTATTTATATAGCACTTTACAACAACCGGAGCTGACCAAAGTGCTTTACAGTAATAAAAACAGATCAAACTATCGAAATATACATAGACAAATACATTGGTGACCCAGTTTACAGAGATTTTACGTGCAAAAAGCCATTCTGAACAAAGCAGACAAACAACAAAAGCAACAACATTGGTAGCAGGAACATTAGTCAGCTTCTCAGAATTGTACAGAAGCTTCAGGAGGCTTGTGTCTGGGTATCTGACGGTGTGCGAAAGAATGAGAACCCGCAGCCCAGGTTTCCCAGATCGTGCCCAGTTCTAGTGCAAAGGGGCCAACAATATTTGGTCCACGCCTGAATGCGCCTCTCCACAGGACCTCCTCACGACCTGCAGATCAGAGAGGTGCGAAACGACTCCCTGGTCCTGCTGTGGAAGCCTCCTGTGTATCAGGGTCGGGACCCGGTCAACGGCTTCTACGTGGACATTAAGGAAGCGGAAGCTCCAGAGGAAGCTTGGAGAGGAGTCAATACCAAGCCTAGAGAGAAGACCTTTATCAAGGTAATCAGCAGGAGGCCCTTTTTGACCACCGGTGACCACCTATGTCTGGGGCTGCCGCTTCACTGTGCTGCTTTCCATTCCTTTCCAGATCGAGCATCTCAAAGAGGGAGAAATGTATGTGTTCCGTGTGCGCGCTCAGAACAAAGCCGGCGTCGGAAACACGTCAGATGTCACCGAACCGGTCCCTGCTCTGACCAAACCAGGTAAGGGTCAAGACAACTGGCCGGTAGCGACTTAAAAGAACCTGTCAGGGAGGAGGATCTGGATGGGAGGACTCAGGCACAGAGATGCAGAAAAAGGTTTATTTTAACAAAAACGCAGTCAAAAGAGTGGATGACAGGACAGGGTTCAAAACGATGCTGTGGCAAAACTATGATCAAAGTATCAAAGAAAGAGTAAACAAGGCAATGGCAAGATTAACAAAACTGTGGTAAAACATGGCTATGACAAAAATGTGGCTATGGTACAAAACAAGACTATGGCAGTAAAGTAAACAAGGCTGTGACAAAATCAAACCTGACATGGGGTGACGAAAACAGAAAGACGAAAACGCACTGGCACAGGACATGGGAAACGAGGACTATTTAAACACATGAGGGAGGGGAACCCCAGGTGTACACAATAGGTAATCAAGACACGACGAGACACCAGACATTCCCCCAGACGTGACAGAACCGGCTAATGAGGGCGTGCTGTCTTTTGTTTTAAGGCTCTAAGGAGATAGTGGTCGAAGTCGACGACGATGGCGTCATCTCCCTGAACTTCGAATGCTGCGACATCACCCAAGACTCCAAATTCGTGTGGTCCAAAAATTACGAGGACATCACCGAGACCTCCCGCCTGACATCGGAGACCAAGGGGAACAAGTGAGACCCAGAGGCCGACCGGTTTCCCATCATCCACGCCCTGTCATAATGTTTTTCTGATTCCCTTTCCATAATGTGTTTTCTCCACAGGTCCAAAGTCGTTTTCAACTCTCTGGAGGAGGAGGACATTGGCATTTACTCGTGTCTGGTCACGCACACTGAGGGGGCCTCGGCCAGCTACACTCTCTCCGAGGAAGGTGGGTCGCAAAATCGCAAGAGTTTTCAGTCCATAGAGAAAACGAAAACATTTTTTCCTTTCTGTTCATCGATCCTTTGTTGCCTTGTTGTTCACCAGAGATGAAGAGGCTTCTGGAGATCAGTCATGACCACAAATTCCCCAGTGAGTGCATCCAGTCTCGCAGGAGAAGGGACATTTTTGGTTTGACCTGCTTTTCTTATCTGTATATTTGACCTCACTCTTTGCGCACACCAATAGTAATTCCCCTAAAGTCGGAGCTGGCTGTGGAGCTTTTGGAGAAGGGAAGAGTGCGATTTTGGCTGCAGGCGGCGCAGATGACAGCCAATGGAAAAGTCGATTACGTTTTCAATGACAATCTGATTTCTCAGGGAGAGGTCAGTAAGGCTCTGCGACTCGTTTTTTTGCTTTTGAGGCGACTCAAAGACGATAGAGACTTTTCTTTATTGTGTTGCAGAAATACAAAATGAGCTTTGACAAGAACACCGGCGTGATCGAGATGGTCATGGAGTCTCTGACCCCAGCGGATGAGGGCACCTTCACCTTCCAGCTGAAAGATGGAAAAGCCACAAACCAGTCCAGCTTGGTGCTGATTGGGGACGGTATGCTCAGCCTTTTGAAATCACAAAAGGTCTAAAATCACAGACAAGACAAAAAAAAGAAGAAAACTTATTTAAATGCTGTTTAAACTTTTTTGGGAGTCAGTGTATGCAATTGAATATGCCCAACCAGAGAATGACATTAGTTTGGAAACAACACTCACAGTTCACATTCATCTGAATCCATTACAATAGGTAAAGGTAAAATTAATGCCCAATCAACTGAAATAAGGGAATGTACAATCTTGTCTCTTACGCTTTTTTGATGGACTTTAATGGGCATGGGATGCATTACTGACTCATTTCGGGTGAATTAGACAACAGTAATTGTTACATTATTTCTCTAAACATGAATCATATTTTCCCTAGTCCACACATTAAATTGTCTTCAAGCTATACACTAAAAGTGATATAGCCTTTAATGCTATGAGTGTTATACTGTGACAAAATACAATGAACAGAATAAAACACTGTATAAATGGATATGTGTGAAAATGGAATAATGAATGGATGACTGTTGCTTATAGTAATAGGCAATAACACAAACAAAAGAAGGCTGAAAATGCTTTAAAAGTGCACATCATTTATCTTCTATTAGGAAACACACCAGGCTTTTCAAATCTATACACACAGAGACCAGCAGTGGTAGCTTTTCAACATCAGAGGGCAGTAAAACATTTCACATATCCTGTTCAAAATGAACTTATAAGAAAAAACACAGGAAAACACAATGCCAGTTCATTTTTTAAATTTCTGTCCTTTATTTTTAACATGTGTGTGTCTGTGGATAGATGGATGGATGGATGTGTAGATGGATGGATGGAAACAGATAAAACTAAAAATGTTTTTCTTTTATTTTCAGTTTTCAAGCAGCTTCAGAAAGAATCAGAGTTCCAGAGGAAAGAGTGGTTCAGAAAGCAAGGTATGGCACACTAATGAACTAAAAATGCTAATTTGATTGACAGATCAGTTAAACATCTCGGACATAAACGTGCCTTCACATTATTTGCTGGAACTGTTATCATTGCACCTGCACACCTGTTGCAGGTCCTCACTTTATCGAATACTTGGGCTATGAGGTGACACCGGAGTGCTGCGTGCTGCTGAAGTGTAAGGTGAGCTGGAGAAACATCTCTGGTGTTTCCTTGGTCTATTGAATCGCATTATCGTCTGACCTCTGACCTCTGCTGCCTCCCTTTTCAGGTTGGCAACATGAAGAAGGACACGTCAGCTATGTGGTACAAAGACGGACACCAGATCAAAGCGGACGAGAACCTCGGCTTCACGGAGGGAGTTCTGAAGCTGGAGATTTCTCAGGTGATGAAAGGAGAAAAAAAATCTCTAGTGTGCAATTTATGTAGTTCCTCTGCATATTTTTGCATTAAGTCACTTGTTAATATTAATGTAGATGTTACAAAGATTTGTGCTGATAAGAATATAGTGATTGTTCATATTTTTAGAGCATTGTTCACCTATTTGTTAAACAGAAACACCAAACAGTCTGAAGGCTTTCTAAACATTCGCATTAGACTCATTTCTAACTGTACTAGCAGACCCATGTAGACTGTTATTTTTCACTATCCATGGCTAGTAATAACATTTTTTTAATGGATTCAATATAACACGACTAAATCTATTGATGAGTGAAGAAATTCATTGATGTTTATTTGTCTTTCCTATTTTAATCTGCTCATTTCTTGTGGAAACTTTAACTCGCATCTTGTAAATCTTTGACAGTCCACAGTCATAGGCTGCTTCTGATTTTATTTAGGCGGATTTTATTTTGAAAAGCCTTCCTTTTCTGATGTAGAATCGCTTGTTTTTACAGGCAGTTGATGTTGTTTTACTGCGTTTGACTTTGGCTTTCTCGCCGTCAGATTTCCAAGAAGGATGCTGGAGTGTATGAGGTTGTTCTGAAGGATGACAGAGGGAGTGACACTTCCACACTCAACCTGACAGACCAAGGTAACTATACACCATCAGATGTTGACAATCTCAGTGGCAGACCACAAAAAAATAAGCACCGTAAAGTAACAATGTTTCCTCTTTAAGGTTTCAAGGACTTGATGAATGAAGTGTTCAGTTTTATCGGTAAGCAGACAGACGACTCGGACAGTTTCTGCTCTAACTGACCCCTAAGTGACAGGACTTTTTTGTGGTCTCGTTTCCAGCCAATTCCTCCACTCCGCTAAAGATCACCAGCACAGATGAAGGCATCCGACTCTACACCTTCGTCAGCTACTATAACGATTTGCTCCAGGTCACATGGCACTACAAGTGGGTTCGCACCGGCAAACATCCGCCATGTTTTCCGTATTTCCCTCAGGGGAACTGCACTGTTTGAGTGTCCCGTGTCTCTCTCTGACAGGGACTCAGCTATTGCCTTCTCCGACCGCATTAAGAGCGGCGTGGTGGGAGAGCAGCTCTGGCTTCAGATCACAGAGCCCACGGAGAAAGACATGGGCAGATATGCCATCGAGTTCAACGATGGAAAGGGTGGCCTGAGGAGGACCGTGGAGCTCTCTGGTCAAGGTAGGAGCTTTTGACCGTTTAAACTTGGGCTGCGCTATAGTTTTATATTTGAATAATCCATTTGATCCAGTTCCAGACTCCTCTTCGTACAAACCAGACTCACATTACTTAACTTGGTTTTGTCTTGCAGCGTTCGATGATGCTTTCGCAGAATTCCAGAGACTCAAGTAAGTAACTAATTTTCTGAACCAATTTATATGGTGCAACTGCTGGACTCAAGGGCTGAGAAATATAATCTGTCAATCATGTGGGAAAAAAACTGAGCGCATTTAGACTTTTAGACATTTTCATGAAGATTTGATAAAGCTAAATTAAACCTCGGAATGGCGACGAGAATGACAAGTTGTGAATCCTGTAGATCCTGGTATAGATTATTACCCAAATTTGGTTCGTCATTACTCTACAGTCCTTCATAAACTTAAAGAGCGGCTGGAAATTTAAGCATTGGATTGAAAAGATAGTTAGCAACTTCAAAGATTATTGAAAAGAATGTGTGGGCTGAAACTTGAGATCTCCTTGCATAAAGGGTCCATAAAGCAGTTGGAATCCGCACCTTCTACCATTTGTAAAAAAAATTACTCTGGTAACTATTTGTGTGTTTTGAGGGACTTCAGTTTGTTTGACAATGGATTGTCACTGATAAAGGTCATTGATTAAAAAGTGAGCTGGTTCAGGCCGAAGGAAAGTCATCAGCAACTCAAATGCTGCCTTGTTCTAGTGAAGCTACGAAGAGCCCCTCTTATCGCACAACACAGATGTGTCACAACAGCAGAAAGCCACACCGGGTGCAATCTGAGAACAGGAAGCAGAGACCACAGAGGGCCTCAGTTGTTTGTGCTACTCGAGCGACGTAGGAGATCTTTCACCTGCACAATTTACACCTCTTAGCACCAACCGAGCGTCATTTCTGTGTATTGATACAGACAGCGTACTCGTCCTATGATTCAGATTAGGACGGTTGTGTCAGATCTTGTATCGTCTCAGGCTGGCTGAATGCTGCCAGCTCCATTTAATGTCAGCTATCCTGAGTTATGTCACTTCTGGGTGTAAACAAGGTTCACAGCGTGAGCATATGGGATGCTTTCCGAATGCTGTCTGATGTTTTTCCGTTTCAGTTCACCCTGATTTAAAGGCCATAAAAAATGTGACTGTAGTTCTTCTGATCCTCAGCACCTTTAATCTAATTTGTCATCTAACTTTTTTTCCACTTTCCCAGAGCGGCTGCCATTGCTGAGAGAAGTAAGTGAAGACAAACTACAAGGATTTCACTCATCTGATATTAGCCTTTGGCCTAATTCAATCAGATTGGGCTCTTGAATCAACCTCATGCTAATTAGAATACACTTAGTAGTTTTTTTAGCTACACTTTGATTAGTAAGTACACTCACAGCTCATGTATTTTGATGTTTTACTGCTTAGTATATTAATTCATCTCTACACCAAATGTTTTCACACAATTATTTATAAAAGATGAGAAAGAATGTTGACTTTTAATCCTCTAGTAACCTTTTTTTTTGTGTTTTCAGATCGTGCTCGAGTAGCAGGAGGCCTGCCTGATGTGGTCACCATCCAGGAGGGCAAGGTAAGCTGAAACCATGCAAACGGAACAGCAACACGTGCCCACTCTAAGTCACGTTCCTCCCTCCAGGCTCTCAACCTCACCTGCAACATTTCGGGCAACCCCGTGCCCGAGGTCACCTGGCTGAAGAACGACCGGGAGATCACGTCCGACGAGCACTGCATCCTGAAGTTTGAGTCGGGCAAGTTCGCCAGCTTCACCATCACGGCCGTGAACACCTCGGACTCCGGCAAGTACAGCATCCTGGTGAAGAACAAGTACGGCACGGAGAGCGGAGACTTCACCGTAAGTGTCTTCATCCCCGACGAGGCGGGCGGCAAGAAAAAGTAAAGCGGTCCAAGTCTTATCGTAAATATCTGTAAATGACAAAAAAAACACTGGTTCGACGGCAAAACAGGGCTTTGAGAGAGTGTCGAGTGTTATGTGTAGGCTAACCGGAGCTCGAGAGGTGCTGCATCAGGAGGTTAGAGACAAATCTGGATTTCAGTTGAGAATTGATGTGAAGTCATTTGGTCCAACACTCACGAATCAAGTCGACGTGTGGTATCAAACCACCTTAAATCACTACTTTTGTGTAAAGGAAGATTAAATCCAGCTCCGCTTAGCAAATGAAGGCAAGAGGTAATTGTTGGTGTGGTTCTGATGAAATGCAATGAAAATGAGTGTGAACTATCTAATAGATATCTAAATGTTTTCACATTAGCTACAAATTTTGTGGACTTAACTGTTGACCAATTGGAGAAAATCAGACAATTTTGTTTAATCTCGCGGAGACTAAATCTTTCATGCATCTTAAACCTAGCAAGACAGATTTGAGGCCTGCTCTGTGCGGCATTTAACTTGGATTATGCTTTAATTTAGCCCATCTTTATTTTCGCATCACTGTTGGCATGACGCCTATTCAGATCTGGCTCCACGTTTTGTGTTCTGAAAGCCGACTTTTACGCCTGAGTTGATGAGCAGCTTAATGACACAATGTGTTGGGAACCGCGTGGTGAGCGGGGTTTAAATCAGAGCCTGAACTGTTTCGCTTCAGTTTTGGAGACAAAATGAGTAGCTAATGGCTGAAAACATGCAGTTTAGTCGTGTTTATGTTCGTCACATTTTATTCACAGTCACTTTAAATGCGATTACGACATCACTTTGTCTCACTGTCTGTAGAGAATATTGTACGTCTGCTCATTACTGTTGATCATATCCACTGTTGTCATGACATGCCCATCATGGTCCACCATTAATGATCACAATGTATTAGTGATATCTGTGCCACTGCAGTGAAGACTGAGATATCACTCTTAATACCAGCAGTAGTGGTAAGAGCTTCACTTCCTATCCCCTGTTTCCTGATGAGACTAATAAAAAAAAGCATGTACCCCCCACTTCCTCCTCCTTCTCCTTTATGAGTGGCCTCACTTTTGTTTGAACCTTTCACCTCTCACACATCCACTATTAGAGCACTTATTAGTCACCGTTTTTCCTGGAGCTGGACAGCGTGAAGATCCCAAACCAGCATGGAGACAACCCCCCCATCCTTCACTCCCTCCACTGTAACCCTGGGACAGATATGTGGTATCGTACAATCACTCCAACATTCACCTCACAATCAACGCTAAGGGATCAATCGACAAAACGATGCTATAGCTACAGCTAAAGCATAGCTACGGCCACAAAAACACCACTGTTGTTTGTATCTTTTATCGATTATTCATGTGATTTGGTTGCCAGCATGTAGAACATCTGAGAGCTTTTCAGTGAGGATCCATTGTGAACAACAGCACAGACAGACTGTACATACTATAGCCGAGGTTTTCAGGATGTGGTGGTTAGCACCATGGCCTCACAGCCAGAGGGTTCTGGGTTGGAGTCCCCGGGGGAACCAGGACCAGAGGGTTCTGGGTTGGAGTCCCCGGGGGAACCAGGACCCGAGGGTTCTGGGTTGGAGTCACGGGGGAACCAGGACCAGAAGGTCCAAAAACCTGCATGTTAGGTTGATTGGACATTCCAAATTGCCATTAGGAGTGAGTGTGAGTGGTTGTGTGTCCCTGTGATGGACTGGGGACCGTCCAGAGTGACCCCGCCTCTCGCCCATTGACCACTGGGATAGGCTCCAGTCCCCCCTACGACCCCATTGGGGGATAAGCGGTTACGAAAATGGATGGATGATGCCCTTTGTCTACAAGCTGGCAAAATTTGAAATCTTCCCGAGAAGCATAACACAGAGAGACAATGCAACTCTTCCTAAGATTTAGCAGATCCTTGAGACTCCACTTTACTCACTGAGCTCTGTGATGAAGACCAGGTACAAGACACATAAAATGGATACGAATTGCACTCAAAGGCTTGTCAGCTACTAAAGTGTGAGAGACTCTACAGTTAGCACAGACAGCAAATTCTCAATTCTCATTGGTAAACTCTCTGGGTAAGTATCTAAGATTACCTTACAAGTAATTGAGGTAAATTCTGCCCTCAGCTCTTCATAACAGAGCCTTATTTTGTCCTCTCAGCTGGAAGTCATAGAAGGGACACCTGACTTGGGGGTGACCTCTTATTGGACTGATGCAGAAGGAAATGTTGTGTATGGCCCAAACACTCCAAAGGAAAAGATGAAATCCCCAATAACTGGAAAAAACACGCAAAAGCGGAAAGGTGCGTGGATTTTTGAGTCATGATATGGGTGTGTAACACCTTAGACACTACAGAAAAAGTATGATCCCACAAACTATTATCTTACAGAATCTGTGGCCAGGATGGCTCCAATGGAAAAGATGGATGGCAAAGAAGAGGTCCAGAGCAAGAAGTTGCAGGGCAAGAATACAGACAATGTCACAGTAGAGCAAAAAAACTCAGAATCTGAAATAAAAGCGGATGAGAAGAAAGATTTGTCTGACCGGCCGCTTTCCAGTGATCACCCAGATGTTTGTGAGCAGGCTGCAGATACTGTGGAAATGTCCGAATCAGATGCTGAGACACAGCCTAAAACGACTAAATGAATAGAGCTTAGAGGGTTGATGTTTGCACTTCATAGTCAATAATATTCCACATTTGTCCTGGTACACGTAGTACCTTAACAACCCCATATCCAGATTCAGATATATAGTGTGTGTTTTTTTGCTTTGATAAAGGAAATTTGTATGTTTTTTTTTTTTTACGTGGGAGCATTAGAGTGGCAAAGTGCTCTCAGACCAAAGGGAAGAAGAAAGCAAGTATTAAAAATTACTGTTGTGAAATGGAGCAGAATCAATTCAACATGTTATAGATGTGTCATAGATGTTTTTTGTCTCAAAAGAAGAAATACAACTCCTTCAATACTGAACTTGGAAATTGTTTGACTTTAAATTTTTGACATCTATACTTTGAAGGTGAGACCAAACCAAAAAAACAGAAACACAGATAAATAACTAGATGGCATCCTGCTTAACATTTATGAAAGATGAAATCCCATTATGAAGTATTCTGACTCAGATAGTGTTTTTATGGGGAAATGAAAATGGTTAATTCCTTGTCCGGAGTTCTCAAATAGGTTCATTTGTTCCTATTCTGTATATCACAGGCAGCTAGCTGGCTTTATTATGAATAAAAATGTGTGAAAACATATTTTTGCACTAATGTTATCATTGATTATATGTTCTTTGTGGTTTATTTTATTCTATTTGCATTGCAAAACTGGAAAATGATCTTTCCTTTTTAGGTTTTTATTTGACTTATCTTTAAAATCAAATGAATTCAATTGGAATTTGAAATTGTATCCCGTAACATTACCTGACATACAAATGCAACTCAGAGCCAGATGGAAAACTGCAAATCAATTTGCTCCTTAAACTTTTAGTTAGCTCCTTTCTGATCACCATAAAAAGGAAACCATAAGATGGTTTCTACTGGACTTAATCAGAACAATGTCCATGTCATTATCACACATATCCCCTTGTGACAAATCAAATTTTTACTTTAATTAGGATAATAGATTAGATATTTTTATTTTGTACAGGTGCTGTCAAACAGGATCATGTTTGTACTTGTTAAAAGATGTTGAGAAAGGAGTGAAAGAACTGTGCTTCTCAAGACTAAATAAGGCTCAATCTGTATGTTTCACATGTTAATGTATAACTAGGTTACTACGATATAATAATCATATAATTAAGATTTAAGTTTGAAATGTTCACTTTACTTATTTTACATTTTCATTGACACACATTTCCCATTTTGACCATGACTGAAGCACCAACTGTAGAGACAGTCCACGTTTTATTAGATTAGATTAGAGACTAGTACGGGAACGCATTGTATTTACTAGAAGAAAAAGAAAACATATCTTGTAATTACGAGATAAGGTGTCTATTTTTTTCAGTGAATGTACTTTTAGCTTTTTAGTGCAAAAATAAACAACAAAACAATAATAAAAAAAACTGTGCAGAAAGATTATGTTTTTTTCAGGGGGGGTTAACAAAATATTACTAAGTGATGGACAGAATTTAAAAAAGGAAAATAAAAATGCAAATATAAATAATGTTAACTAAATGAATGTCTTCAGACAAAGTAAATTCAATAGGAACACCACCGGTGTCCATGATGGATGTCAGTCCTTCTCCTTATATGGCAGCAAACTATAAACTATTTATTTGTTTAAGAATTTGGAAGTTTATGTTCACACCATCGTTCTGGTTGTTTTCTAGCTATTGTGAGAAAAAAAACAGAAGCATCCTCATTAAAAGAAAACGGAATTATTCACCTTTCCACCTGTAGTCCTGCGTCGTCACGTGCGGCCGCTGTGCTGCAGGGTCACGTGGTGGCTGTGAAACAGCGGCACGAGCGCAGAGGCAGAGAACCGGCGGAGGAGAGACGGACGGCTGCCCGCGGGGATCCTCCACTCCAGCAGGTAGGTTTACTCCATTTATCCTCCTCTATATTGTCACTCAACAGCTCAATAAGATGGACAGACTCTGTTTGTCGTTTTTACGCCTCTTACGCACGACCCTTGAGTCCCTCGACATGTTTCTGAAGAGTCATTTACCGGTTGCTGTTGAAGCCTTTTGTGATATTGGAAACTCGCGATTAAAAGTCAATTCGCTGTCAGCTTTTACTTATATTTATAATGACTTCGACTTTTACGTAGTTGTCTTTATGTAGTAATTTATGTAGTCAATTCTCTGTCAGCTTTTACTTATATTTTTAATCAGCTCGACTTTTACGTAGTTGTCTTTATGTTGTAATGTTTATACTAATCCATAGATAAAATATTTGATGATTCCCATTAAACTTCTTATCGGCGCTTCTTAACACCATTCTTGTTACATGAATAAACTAAAAAAACATTGTATTTATTCATTAATAATGAAGCCTACACTTTGAAAATACATTTTGAGCATTACTATGTTTAGGCTACTATATATTATTTTCAAATGACCGACCTTTTACAGACATTTGAAAGCACCATAATTAGACTTAATGCATGCCACACAATCTGTTCAATGATAGAATCTAAATAGAGGATTTGCTTCTTTTATCTGTATTATTTGAAGTATTCTTCGGTATTGGAGGGTTTACAGGACTAATGATGTGACCTGAAGGCATCACGGTGGGCACTGAGAATTTAGGCATTCATTTTACAACCTAAAGGGCCGATTAATTCAAACAAACCCAGACTTATCCAATCAAAATAGTGTAGAAACAATCCTCATTTGTTTATGAACTGAACTGGTCCACTTTACAGCTGGTAATGACAGCCTGTGATGACTCGTGTGGCTGAAAGCGTCTCACGTTGGACGTAGTGAGCCATAGAAACGTGCCGAGACAGTGAAAGCTAGATTTGCTTTAATCTTGTAAACAGGATTAACGCCTCTCAAGGTCTTGTCAACCCACATGGACAGAGCGGAGTGGATGAGAACTGGTCGTGCTGGATCTGTTTCGATGAAGTAACGACGATCTACCAGTACTTAGAGAACAAAGCCTCTAATTCTTTGTTGTGGTACGAGATGTCTCATTAATGCAGCTATAATCCTATAAATGAGGAAGAGGCCTCAACAAATATTGCTGAAAAAGTCAAATGGAAACCCACTTTTTTTCTTTTTTTTGCAATAGTTTCCAGACACTTTTCTTTCTTTTTTGCAGAAACTTGTTTGAAATTCACTGCAAGTATCCATGTTTTTATTGAAAACCGGCTAATATCTCTGACAACCTTGATTCTTGGTCCATTTAATCCTTTTTAAGCGCTCCACTAGGTGGTCCATAAGGATTTTGCTCAGTTATTTGGAACAATTGTTGTACATCAGCTGATGTTGGAGTTGAGTTACTGGCTCGTTATTTGTATTGTTTGGTAATATTTCCAATCCCCTCGAATTACAGCCATAATACCAAAGCGATTATTCCTCTGTAAATAGTCAGGCTCACCCCCTTGGTAGCAACCCCTCTTTTTTTAATAGAGTCCGTAAACATCTGGGAACTTAGGAGACCAGCTGTTGGATCTTTATCTTTTTTATGAGATCTGATAAAATACTGTTAAAATACTGTGACACTACTGTTGTAAAAGTGCAGTCACTTTGCTTTGTTTTGCTCTAATATGCAAGACCACCCCTGTAAAAAGCTCTGTCAGAATGGGAAGAAGTGTTAGCGTAAAACCTAATACCTTTCAGCATCGATGGTAGTCTCTGTTGTGCAATTTTCCAGTTCCATCTGCACTAATGCAACTCTCATACCATTACAGATGCTGCCTTTTGAACTAAGTGCTGAGAACCACCCATGGTGCCCCCCCCCCCCCTCTTTAGTCCAGAGAATGCACATCTAAAAAAAAATCTCAATGTGATTTGTCTGGCCGCTAACAGTTTTCCAGCTCGCCTCATTCCTTTTTAAAAAAAATAAATAACACTGTTTCTTGATCATTTTCCCATTTGGCTTCCTGTTTACATTGTGGAGCTTTCACCTGCATCTTAGGAAACATTGTGGCTTACTTCTCAGGTTAACCCTGTAATGCCAAATGTATCATATTTGATACGTACGGTTTCTGAAATGTTTTGCGTCTGACACCTTTTGCATAATATAACGGTAAAAATTTGCTCAAAATCCTATTGGACACAATCAGATACACCTGATAACAGGGGGCAGAAGACTACACAAAAAATAATCTTGATTTATCGCATTGTAATAAATTATTAATATTAATATTAATATTTATTTTAGTTTTTTCTTTTTACATATTTTGTTAAAAGGCCAAATAAGGAATTCAAACCAAAAAAAGTAATTTTCTGTTTTGTTTTATTCTCGGATCAGGCTTTAAAGGTTTAAAATCAGTCCCTTTTTCTAAGAGCACCACTGTGTCTGTATGGAGTGCAGACACCTGTCTCTCTGCTCTGTGGGGAGTTCTGTGATGATCCAGACTCTTCTGCTTTGTCTACCCACTGAGCTGTGGGCTCGTCTGTCTGCAGTGGGCATTTACATCACAGGAACTCAGCAGCTATCAGCATGCAAAACACAGCCGTTTGCTGGGACTTCCTATTTTTACTACCATTCCTCTACATTTGTGGCCTTGTTATCGCTGACCGACCCACTAAATGCTAACTATTATGATATTTGACACTTATGATTTCCATGAACAATTGGAATTGAGTTTAGTCTGTGATGTTAACTCACTAGTCCCTTCAAATCTTGGTATTCCTTTGCACAAGTGATTTAACTGTTATTCAAACAAATGGATTAACGTGTTCCCTGGAGCGGTTCAGCGGCCTTTATGGAGACTTTTGGAGTGCTAAGATAGATTACGTAAGCCCCTCAGAGCTCAGGCCGGGGGTAAATTTCCCTCAGAGTGCTTGTGGACGGGTCACAGAAGCGGAGGTGCACCAACAGGCTGCCTGTGGAGCAGAGGGTGGAGAAAAGGCCTCCGCTCCCCTTAATGCCGTTTAGGGAACATGGAGCTCTCAGGTAGGACACCTGTAGAGCAACACAGCCAGCGGCTACACCTGAAGTCCCCGTGGACTCTGGTGAGTTAGAGTGCTGCTTTGATTTATACATATTGTGCAGAGTTTGCAGAGTTAGGATCTTTCCCTTGTTGTGATGCTCTGTGAAAAGAAAAGTGAAACTAGTATGAGCTGACATGTTGCCAGGAAGCTTTACATGAGAATCGGAGGTTGCACCTTTACTGCCTGCAAAATCATGAGGAAACTTCTGAGCTACATTTCATAAAACCGGATGGAGAGATAGAGCAAACAGAAAGAATCTGATACATTATGATCCTGTATAGTTGTTCATATCAGTTAATCTGCAGCCTGATGTTTATTTGACACATTTGGGTCTTAAATTATCTTGAATTATGTGTTCTTTGAGTCCATGTTAAGACGTTGTCACTCAATACTAACATTCAAAGTTTGAGGCACATCATGCAGCTTCCTAATTTTACCATGCTGTGAACATTCATGTGGTTACTTCTCAGCTATTATCAGATCTGTCATTTTTTACATTTGTAATACACTTGTAATTTGTGCATTTGGGCTCCGTTAAGTACATTACAGTTGGGAAAGAACAGTGGCTCCGGCAGTCTTACTTGTAATGGTTTCAAAGTCCAACCACCTGGTATGCAGCTCTCAGTGAGTCAGTTTAAACTGTTCTCAGTACTGTACAAGACAAGAAGCCATTCTTACTTCCTCATTGTTCAGGAAACACACGAGACGTCCTTATGCTCGTTAAAAATTGATTGCCATCTTAAACTTTACACAGTGGATAAGATCTGTGGGGATGAAAGAGGGTCGGTCAGGGGAGCAGGGATGCCTCTCAGAAGGGTACAAACACTGACATGACATCTGAAAACATTTGTATTTGCTATAACGAAGAACAGCATGCTGCATCTGATAAACAATGACATAATGCAACCTGAAAATGTAATTTGAAACCTTAAAAAGCCACAATCGGGCTAAGCCAGATTAGTTTCAACATAGTTCTCATTTAGGAAAATAACCCTTTAGCCCTGATATTGTTAGCACAATTGTTAAAGCTACACATTGGTGTACAGTACACACACAGGGTGGTTGTGTTATTCTTCATTTCGCCAGTTCATTAAAGTGATAGCCAGCTGTAAAGATGAGGGCATCCACTTGAGGTGACTAAAGGAGAATCACACATTACTTAATCAGTTCATTTCTACTGCAACTCTTGATGCAGTCATTCCAGAAACCATCCATACTTAAAAAAAGGCTCTCTCTCCCGTTTTTTTGCTCTTGAACCTTATTAGATTTTGAATATCACTTTCCAACTCAGCTTTCTTTTGTTTTTGCTAGAACATCAAGCTTGTGGCAGACTTAATGCTGAGCCAAAGGCTCCAAAACAGCAGTTTACTGTCTGGGATTTGCTGTTGATAATCCTCATTTACAGTTGATAATAATCATGTACACAGTAGGTTCATAAGTGACTGAAGTTGGTCAAATTTGGGCCTGCTCATTAAGGCTTTAGCCCTGCATACAGAAGCACACATCGTCTCCTCTGCAGCCATGTTGCAGCAGTCGAGGCTCCGATTAAGTCCTGATCAGCCCTCAACCCTTTGGAGGAAAATGGGACAGGGCCACTGCGTTTAGGGACCAGCTTGCATTTCATCTGCAGACTATTCTGAACAACAGCAGCCTTATTAGAGACGCAGTGCCATAGTAAGGCAAAAAAAGAAGAATTTCCACACAACAAAGAGCTGAGCGTGCTGCAGAGTTTTAGAAGAGCATGCTGGAGAGTTTAATCAGAGGTATCTTTTCCCGATAGGTGGACACCATGAACTATGTGGGGCAGCTGGCGGGCCAGGTGCTGGTGACCGTGAAGGAGTTGTATAAAGGGATCAATCAGGCCACCCTGTCGGGGTGCATTGACGTGGTCGTGGTCCGGCAGCCCGATGGGACGTTCCACTGCTCCCCTTTCCATGTCCGGTTTGGAAAACTGGGTGTGCTGCGCTCGAGGGAGAAAGTGGTGAGTCAAATTAAGCAATCGTTTAAGATGCTATTGGTAAAATGTATGTAATTGACTTATTTATGTATTTTGACTGACTTTTTTCATTTATATTCGGTCAGTTTTCAAAAATATTGGATGTTCTTGGGATATTCCAGTATACTTTGATTGTCAAATATGTGATATTACATCAATGTGCCTTTTTAAATATGTGAGCCTCCCATTTCGATCTGAAGTGGAGCTTCACAATTGACTTTAAGTTTGCTTCAATGTCACTCCTCTTCTCTCTTTCCTCCTCAAACACATTACTATGCAATCCTCTCCACTCCTTGCAGGAGCAGATCACTCCTTCTTTCTATTTATAGACACTGTCTAGCACTCTGCAGAGGACTGGGATGGGGAGAGCGGACTAAAACCTAATTTAGCTCTCTTTGCTCTCAACTCGTAAAGATTCAGCCCATTCAGAAAAAGTCCTCTCACAGAGGAGTCTTCTGTTTTGTTACAGGAAACTGTTGTTGTTACCAGGCAGTGCAGGAAGCTGTGTGTGGTTGATGATTATTTAAATCATGTCTGATGTAAAAAGCATTGTCAACCGTAACCAAAACTAACAGGCTAAAATGAAACCTATTTTTTGGTGCCAAATTATGTCAGCTTTTTGCTGACCTTATTCAAATCTCAGTCTTTTTGGCTGGATAATGACGTAATTAATAAATAGAAAATTAAATGCCACATTTTAGTGACCTTTTTCATTTGCCTCATTACACCAATGCAGCCTTGTTTACACTCAAGCCTGCTTAGATTTTAATCATCAGGTTAATATTTCCCACAGTTCTGGGTAGCTGCGCTGTAGGCATTCATGTGGGATTTTTCTTGTTGTAGAGAAGTGTGGTCAACACCCAAACAGCAAAGTATGATGTGCTGTGACTTATTTGTCTCTTCAGATTGACATAGAGATCAATGGAGAACCCGTGGAGCTGCATATGAAGCTGGGAGACAACGGAGAAGCCTTTTTTGTCCAGGAAACAGAGCGGAAAAATGTGAGTTTTGTGCACCGCAAACCGAATATGATTAAGACTTGACTTTGACCGATCCATAATCAGTTTTGCTTGTCGACGCAAATTTTCCCGGCCAATTAGGAGATCGTCCCGGCCCACCTGGTGACGTCGCCTATCCCCACAGAGGAGGTCCTGATGAGGATGAGAGAGCCCAGATGTGGGGGAGCGATAGGAGAAACCAGCCAGCCTCCTTCCCCAGAAGACCAGGCCTCTGGAAGTGTCCATCTCTCAGCCGGCAAGAAGAAGAAGAGGCGCAGGAGGAAGCACAAAGCCGAGCCGCGAAAGGAGGAGCAGGCTGCTGCGAGCGGGGAGGCGGAGCTGTGTGAGCTCAGCTCGGACGAGGAGCAACAAGCTCACAGTGGACGGTGAGCAAAAAACCGACCCCTGGTCTGTGGGAGATAGTAAGCGTGTTACTAATTTTATTGTTTCCTGTCGTTAGAACATCATCGCTTTCTGTGGTGAAGGACAGCGTGGAGCAGAGGCAGCATTCCCCTCTCACCGCGCTCGAATGGGACAGCTACCCCTTCTCAGATGGAGACTGGGCTCCCTGCAACGTGTACGGCTCTGCCATTCTTTCAAATATTTACATAGCTCACACAAGCAGAGAAAGCAATTAAACCCTCCACTTAATGAAAACATTTGAGACTGAGCAAAAACAAATCCCTCAGGAAGAGTCCAGCTGACTCAGTGGAAATGTGCTTTTGCCCACATCAGGGATGTGTCGGAGCCCATGTCGCCCAAAAGCGACTCGGAGTTGATGGTGAAACCGACGGAGAGCATGCTCAGGGCTGACTCGCACATGCAGTGGACCTGGGGGGAGTTTCCGGAATCTACAAGGGTACCGCAGCTCAACTCAGACTAGTCGATTTAACGGCTTGCTCCTAAGTTTTGTCCCAGTTGTAAATGCTCTTTTCGTCTGTGTCCAGGTCAGCAAAAAGGAGCAAAAACAGGAGCAGAATAAGTTGGCCATCACTCCCTCGGAGAGCACACATTTCAGGGTTATTCTGAGCTCAGAAGCCATGGAAGAAGAGTCCATATCAGAGCAGAGGGCCACAGATCCCGTTTGCCGCATATTAAAACCGGAGCCCCGCACCCTCAAACCCGATAAGCACGTCTGCAGCCTGAATCCGTCCAAAACTCCATTATGTCATGCAAACATTACTGAGTCCGAGCCAGACCTTTCAGACCTTATGCCAACCAGTCTCTCCAGCGAGCAGTGTCCTCCCAAAAATGCCCGCAAGGCCAGGTGGACGTCCTCCCCGCCCAGCCGCAGGGATAACGGCAAAGAGGCCGGAGACTCGGCCGCTGTTTGTCCTGAAGGAAGAGCCTCCTCCAAAGATACTGACTCACCTGTGAAGAGGAAAGGTAACGTCCCCTAATCTAAACCATACTCTGAAAAAGTCTGATGGTTTCAACTAGCGTTTAAATCAAAACTAAATAGATTTTAAGAAAACTTAGATGGAGAAAATGTCATTCAGTATTCAGTTAAAAACACTTTTTAGCAGTAGGGAATATGGTGTGAAATTAAAGGGTTCGAGCTGTGCCTGATTTAAATATGTGGCAGTAACTACAGGCAGTTTAAATGTAAGTCAGTGTTAACAGGAAGGATGTGGCCTCTGTTTGGGCCTGAGCTCTCAGTCGGTGTCGGGGGGTGCCCTGCATTCACATGCAGAAGTAGAAAAATAGAAAAAGGAAGTGAAAAGAAATTAAGTCAGCGAATTCTGAGAAGACAACTCTTGTTCCCCTGTCTCCAAAGTGGTGAGGAAGAGGAGCCAACATCAGGGGCCAGAAGATATTTACTTAGAGGATCTGACTGCTCTTGAACCGGATGTTGCTGCTCGTTACTTCCCTAAAAGGTACAAAACAATGATTTATTTTACAGTTTGTGACATCACTGGTCACGAGGAAGGCCCGAGGGCAGAATCATCTTTAGAAATATTGGAACCAATAAGTTACAGTGTTTTTTTCCATTTCAAATATGTAATACTCCAATACTATCAAACAAACAGTGCCTTAGAAGTATTTTAAAAAAGATCAAACTTATGAATATAGTAGAAGCTATTCACGTTTCTCTGCTGCTGCGTTTTTCAGTGAGTCTGAGCAGGTTTCTAAACACTGGGTGGAGACGGGACAGAGCTCTGGATCCCAGTCTCCGCAGTCGGTGGGCAGCGCCGCGGCGGACAGCGGGACCGAGTGTCTGTCCGACTCTGCCGGGGACCTGCCCGACGTCACTCTGTCGCTCTGCGGAGGCGTGGGCGAGAACTCAGAGATCTCAAAAGGTGAGTATTTCTATCATTAGCTCTCACTACTAGTTGTCCATTGCTTCTAGGCCTTGTATAAACATGCACACTCAAAATGAATAATTGTTCATTCTGACAGTTAGTTCTTACCAGTGTGAAAATGAGCACAAAATAATTTGTGTTTTTGTCAAATTTCCTGCTTGTGGCAATGTTTTTTCAAAATACAAGCCGTCAGTTTAAGACAACGTCAAGCTATTCTGTTCCTTCTCTTTACAGAAAAATTCATGGAGCACATCATTACCTATAATGAGTTTGCAGAGAATCCAGCGCTCATTGACAATCCCAACTTGGTTGTCAGAATCTCAAACCGGTGAGGCTTCCTATTCCCCAACCCTCCGTACAGCTTTATTGATGTTCTGTCACTGACATCTGCACATTAGAGGAAAAAGTCCCTTTTATTTTCCAGATATTACAACTGGACGCTGGCAGCACCGTTGGTACTTAGCATGCAAGCTTTCCAGAAAAACCTGCCCAAGGTATCAGCAAATTTAGTGTGTTTTAGAGAGAGCTGCTTGCGTCGGGAAACTAAGCCAAATAAACACACGGACGTGTTGTTGACAGGCAACAGAAGAGGCCTGGGTCAAGGAGAAAATGCCCAAAAAGTCTGGACGCTGGTGGTTCTGGAGGAAGAGCAGCACGAAACAGGTGGGATTCTCATTTTCTGTGTTTGGGTAACACTGTGAGTCACACATCCATCTGTGGAGTTAAGAGGGAGTCCCTACCAACTTGAGTACCTTTTGCATTGCAAATGAAAAACATGCCTTCCATAACGCATCCCTGTTTTGCATCATTATGTAAGGAAAGCTTCTGTTTGTATATCTGCGTTCGCTCTCACCCTTGTGTCTCGATACGACTACCCTAATTAAGTTTCTACCTCTCCTCAGTTAATGTCTGAGACCAAGTTGGAGAGACAGGAGTCTCTGGGCAGAGAGAGCCCTGCCCTCCACCAGGCCCCAGAAACACAGTGAGTCAGCAACAAAGCTGCACCGTCCCCACAATACAACACACACACACACACACACACACACACTCACACAAGCAGAGTTGGGTAAACAAGTCCCACAGGGGGGGGGATTAGCATGTTAACCAGAGAGCAACGCTGACATCCCATGACTCCTAAACTTGTGACTAATAAACTCATTAAGAGCTCCAAGGGGGGAAAAAAAAATCTTGGAAGATTGTCTGAGCCAGATTAACCTACATAAGAAATAATTAAATATATGCTCAGTTTTTTCGTGTTATGAAAGATGTGTGTTACTGGCAGATAGATTGATCTACTGCCCTCTGCTGGTGGCAAAGCACAACACCCCCCGATGATATTAAACAGAAAAAATGTGTCAGCTTTCTCCCGTTTGAATTGATCCAGGTTTAACGTGTTTTTTTTCTGGTCTCCCTTCACAGGCAGAAAGCTGCTGAGTGGTCCAGTGATGACGAGACGAAGGAGCTGAACGCCAAAGCTCCCGCCCTGACACCTACTGAGCGCGTGCAGTCCGAAGGCGCCTCTCCAGCTGCGGGTCACTCTTACAAGAAGTCCCTTCGCCTGTCCTCGGATCAGATAGTAAGAATGCCAGGGTTTTGCCCCCCTGGTGAGGGGAAAAGTTGTATTTATTTGGTTTAACTTTATGTACAAAACAACAGTCACGTCCTGTTTAATACCTTCATTATGGTTCCTGCTGCTTAAAAAACTGCTGCCTTACCAGTTAACGTGCTGACATACAAACAAAAAAAGAGCAAACACACATTTTCATAGTAAATATTGACTGTACAAACTGATTACGGCAAAAAGTGACAAGTAATAAAACAAGACAAAAAAGAGAACATCATCCAAAGTAAAGGCTTGTGTTTTGAATATCTGCAGAGCATTTTGAACCTTCCCCTTTTTTAGATTACATTTAACATTTTGGTACTCGTACACACTTTTTTTCCCCCCTTTTTTTTACACTCCATGAGTACGTCCACTGTTAAGAAAAAAAACAAAACAAACAAGACTGAGACATAATGTATTTCACAGATTTTTAGCCTTCCTGAGCTTTTATTCCAACACTCAGGCAATGCTGGGAAATTTGTGTCAGACCCAGTAGGATTTTTATGGAGTTTTATCGTGTAATGAGCGCAATTTGTTGTCATTTAAGTCTCCTGCAGCTTCCCGTTGGCTGTGTGCTCTCGTACCAAATGTTTGTGTGACTGAGCTCCAACATTGTGCGTTTGTTCCAGGCCAGCCTGAAGCTGCGAGATGGGCCGAACGACGTCACCTTCAGCATAACCACGCAGTACCAGGGAACCTGCCGCTGCCAGGGCACCATCTACCTGTGGAGCTGGGACGATAAAGTCATCATCTCCGACATCGACGGGACCATCACAAAGTGCGTCCACGGCCTTACCGACCGGGTCTGGAAGCCTGTGGGATTTTGGAATAATTTCTTCCGTTTTCACCCCTCAGGTCGGACGTGTTCGGTCAGATTCTGCCACAGCTCGGTAAAGACTGGACTCACCGGGGGATCGCCAAGCTTTACAACTCGGTTCACGAGTAAGGCCCAGAAAAAAACGCCTCCCCCCCCACACTACACGCTTCCAGATCCCAGAGACCGGTCTCAGACTGCGGGATTGTTGCAGGAACGGCTACAAGTTCCTGTACTGCTCGGCCCGGGCCATCGGCATGGCCGACATGACTCGGGGATATCTGCACTGGGTGAACGACAGAGGGACCCTGCTGCCTCAAGGACCCCTCATGCTCTCCCCCAGCAGCCTCTTCTCCGCCTTCCACCGGTAGGAAATCCCCCTCCTTTTCAAATCAACATTTACAGCCTGGGATTGCGGTAATTGCTGTTTTATCGGGATTTAACGTGCGTGTGCTTCACCTCCAGAAAGCGACCGCGCGGGTAAAACGGAAGGAGACGCTAATGACAGTCATCTAGGCGTTTCAGGCTTATCTAACTCTAAATAACATGGCTTTTCAGGGAGCTTCAGAAAAGTTAAATGTGTACGATTGAAAACAGCTTATTTAACATGGTGGTTCTTCAGTGACTGTGTTTCAGTTTCTCACCGAAAGGCTTTAAGCTTAGCCCTTTAAAGCCTGATCCAAGAAAAATAGCAGGAATATTGGATTTTTTTAGTCTGAAGTCTTTCCTTGGCCCCTCAACAACATATGAAGAAAAAAAAAAACAGAAATTATTTTGATCAAATTAGCGTGCAATAAGTCAAAAATATATTTTGGTGTAGTCTTCTACTGGCTGTTATCAGGTATATCTGAAGGTGTACAACAGGGGTTTGAGCAAAGCTTTTACCACTGAATGATGCAAAAAGTCTCAGATCCAAAAGACTTCAGAAACTGTATGAATCAAATATGATACATTTGGCATTATAGGGTTAAAAATGAAAAATCAGATGGATTAAAAGAAACTGACTCTGATTGTGGCTACGGACGGTCAAACTGGAATCCTCTTTTTTTTCCTCAACATTCTCGTTTAGAGAGGTCATCGAAAAGAAGCCCGAGAAGTTCAAGATCGAATGTCTCACCGACATTAAGAACCTGTTCCTCCCGAACACACACCCCTTCTACGCGGCCTTTGGGAACCGAGAGAGCGTGAGTGTACCGGCAACGCTCAGCTCTTTTCCGCTTTAAAAAAAAACGGCAAACTGACCTCGCCGACTTTTTCTTTTTCCTGCACACAAGGATGTGTTCGCCTACAAGCAAGTGGGCGTGCCCGTGTGCCGGATCTTCACAGTGAATCCTAAGGGGGAGCTGATCCTGGAGCAGGCCAAAGGCAATAAAACATCGTAAGTAGCAACATCTGTGGACTCCTTATTGTTGTCTGTTCCTTTCAGACAAATGTTTATTGTTGTGGGGTTTATTTTTTTCCCCCCCCTCCCACTGTTTCTGGCAGATACAGCCGGCTGAGCGAGCTGGTGGAGCACGTTTTCCCTCTGCGCTGCACGCAGCACAGCGCCACCTTCAGCTGCCCCGAGTTCAGCTCCTTCTCCTACTGGAGACAGCCCATCGCCCAGGTGTGCTTCGAGGAGCTGCTGTGACCCGGACTGAGGAATTCCTCTGACCAAATCTTGCACACGTTCCCTTCTCAAAGCCTAGGCTGCTGGAATAAGTTTGAATTTGTCCTGGATAAGTTCTTGAATCCCGGGAAAGATCCACGTGAGATGTGAATGTATTCAAAGTATGTTAAAACACTCCTCATTGGGCTCTTTATAGCAGACGTTTCCTGACCTCCTGGCAAACCGTGGCGCACACAGAGCCTAGAAGCGTGAGGTCTGTCGTTGTTCTTTACCTTTGCACAGTTCTTTGTTTTTCAAAAACATCTGAGAAGAAGTTGCCCAAGCACTTATGTAGACAGTGGAGTTACGGCATGGTCAGAGTGCTCTTTGCAGGCCGACCTGTGACGCGTCACGGGCATCAACCAGCATCCAGAGCAGCCATGCCGTCATCCCTTTAAGGCCTTATTTGTTATTTTATGCACATCGTTTAAAAGACGTTAAAAAAACTGCACTAATAGGCACAGCAGAGAAATGACCTGCTCAGTCAAACTGCATTGTTGCAGTCTCCGTAAAAAGATTAAAACGTAGATGTTGCTGCTACAAAATATTTGATTGCGTTCGATCGTTCTTAACGACTGGAACTTTGCTCACGTTTTTGCCGGATAACGCAGTCGTTAAAAAAAACAACAAAACAAAACTGCAGGATCCCAGCGCTGCTCCGTCTTTGTAGTCCGCTCGAGCTTTCTGCAACAGTTTACAGCATTCTTTCTGTGAAAGACAACCTTTGTGTGGAGAGAACACACGGCACTTTTCTCCCAGTTTTATGAAGTTTATTTTCACCTTTGCTGCTGCCGCAAATGTTTTTTGTTTGTAGGTTACGGTGTTCTGAAAACTGCTCATTTTGATAGTCGGCCAAACTGTAGATCAAATGTACATACATTCTATAGACGGGATATTTAATGCCTGTATAGTATTCTATTAATAAACACGGAAAAAAAGTCTGAAGGTCTTAATTATGCTTTAATCAAAGCTTCATTTTCGTTTATAACCAACAAGGAGTGCGTTTTATGTGTGCCTGAGTGTGTGTGTGTGTGTGCGCAGAATAATAGATTAGTCGTGAGATCATTTGGTGTCTGCCTGATAATTAAACTGTTATAAGTTATTACTCAATGGCTTTATGTGTTTCAATTATCGAGGATCCGGATTCCAACCGACTTCAAACCAAGTGAAAAGGTGAAAAAAGAAAGATACGATTGTATAAACTATATATTAGCATTCATGATACAAAAAAAACCCTACTTTGTTGTCCGTTTTTGACATGGTGTCTCTCAGTTTTCCTCTGATCTGACAGTGTGGGAGGAGCTACCGTTTGTCCGGGCTCGGGTAGAGCAGCACGGCGCCGAACGAGGACACGATCTGCGGCGAGGCGGAGACGGCCATCTTCCCGGCGGTCAGCACCAGCCCCGCCCGGTCTCCTCGCCTCAGCTTCAGGACCAGGCTCAGGGAGGCCGAACCGCCGCAGCCACACCGGTCACCTGACGGCGGGGCGACGGCTCCGGACGAGAAACCGGCGGAGTCCAGCTTCTGGACGCTGCTGTTGGACACGGAGAGCACCGCCTCGACCCGCTCGCCCCTCTGGGCCGCCAGCACGGCCGTCAGCAGGTAGCGGCCATCTGAGGGAGCCGTGAAGATACCTGCAACCCAAAAGGAAGCTTTTAAAAACTGGTTCCTGTCGGGCTCAATACTAATTATTTATTCGAATATTAAAAAAAATGCTTATAAAAGGTACATTATTCTGGCCTTATCATAAGATCAATATTTAGTGGAAATAAAAATCATATAACTTTTTTTTTTCATGTTCGTGTAAAAATAAAAATTCACATAATGGAAATTGATATCCCACGATTACAACTGAAAAAAAGAAGAAAAAATAAATAAATTAAGGATGGACTCAAGTGGAAAAATTCACTTGAGTCCATAAATTGTCCATAAAAAAGGACAAATCTCCCTTTATAACAATGGAAGTTGAGGAAAAATATAGAAAATGAAGATTTTTTTCAATTTTCAATTCAATTCAATTCAATTTGATTTATATAGCGCCACATCACAACAACAGTTGTCTCACAGCGCTTTTCAAACAGAGCAGGTCAGACCCTACTCTGAAGTTAATTACAGAAACCCAACAATTCCCACCATGAGCAAGCACTAGGCGACACAGGCAAGAAAAAACTTCCTTTTAACAGGCAGAAACCTCGAGCAGAACCATGGCTCAGGGTGGGCGGCCATCTGCATTTTGTTCTCCAGACCTTTGAAACTGTGGTGAGAGATACCTGTATAGGGGTCATAATGTTCTCCATCGTTGACCAGAACCTTGTTGAATCGGATGATTCCCACTTCTCCTTGAAATGGCGGGAGAGTGAGTCCGGCTGAGAAGGCCACTCTCTCTCCTGAAAACAGAGAGGGAACCATCAGACATGAGGAAAAAGGGGGAGGAGCTAAAAGGAGGATGGACGCACTCTGACCTGACGTCCCGACGGGTTTCTGTGGTGGAGGAGGTCCGTGAGGTCTGCCCACGTCTGTCAGTGAAGAAAGCCGGTGTCATTTATAAGATAAGAGCTTTACTGATCTCACAGTGGAGAAATTCACTGGTCACACATCGGTTAGAGTTCAAAAGGAGGAAAAGGTGCATAAAACAAACAAATATACAAGGAAGCAACACAGCGCAGAGATTTGGGTGACTAAAATATATACAATCATTGATGGCTCACTCACAGTACACATATTACACAGGTCAATAAATATAACACAATTGCACAGCAGTTGTTATAGTGCAGCATTGTACAGTCTGCTTGCAGCAGGAATGAATGACCTGCGGTATCTCTCTTTTTTACACACAGGGTGTCTAAGTCTTTTACTAAACGAGCTGCCCAGCTCCTCTACAGTGTGATGTTTGGTAAGTTCAGATTTAAACCCAAAAAAAACATTCACCTGGGATCGAAGTCATGCCGGTCTGTCCAGGGTCAGTGGGCTTAAGTGGGGAAGCTGTGGGGAAAATGGAGAAGAGACATGAAGCGATACTGGTTGAGGAGTCAGGGCCCGGTCTATCCGACAGGTGTCAGGTCTCACCTGGAGCTCCGGCGAAGCCCTGAACGGGCACCATGCTGACGTCCACCCCCTTGGGCAGCTTGGACGAGCTCATCTTACCGGGAGGGCCGGCCTCCCCGGCTTCCATCACAGGAGGCCGCTGGAGAGAGGCGTCCGAAACCCCGGGGCCGACCCGGGCACCTGAACACAACGGACAGCCCGGGGTCAGAACAGCGGCCATGTGCAGGTCAGAGGAGTTAAAAAAAAAAACAGATGCTCACACTTTTCCTACACGACACGCTCAGATGACCACTTAGACCATAGTCTCATATCTTTTATTTACGTCTAAGTTTTCTCAGTCCCTTTACTGACCGTTTGTCCAGATATTTTTTTACTGCATTTTACTTTTACTCCATTCGTTTTTGCTCTCTTTGGTGGTAAAGGCGTTAAGACGAGATACAGCAGCTAAGTTGTGTCATCTCGAACCTCCACATGTGGAGCGTCTGGCTTTCAAACCCCTTGAAGGATCGTTTGCACCTGTAGAATTACTGAGGGTTAGGGTCAAAGGTCGCTGACCCTCCCGACCCCCCTGTGGATCCTCGTCAACACCTCTCAGTCGCTCACCAACCCCACCAGTAAATTAGCGTTTCGAGGTCACACAAAGTGGATCCTCATCTCTGTTTGGATGTTTCCCACAAAAATGACATTATTTTTAGAAAATAATGGAAAACAGTGTAGTTATTTTATAGGCACCAACAGGGATTATTAGGAGTTGTGTAACTGGGATGAATAGTACATCCTGTTTGTCTCCTGTGAGACGAGTCGATTATGACAGAGCAACAAAATTATTTAAAAAAAAAAGAGGTTGTGAGGTTTTTTATTTTTTCTACTTGTCCAATTGAAAGGATAGTTTCTCCGCGTAGGTTAACCAAGATGTCACAAAACTGACTTAAGAATCCTCAATTTTCCCAAAATAATAATAATAATATTTATTATTTAATAATATTTCTTGTGATAGACTCGATGATACGTTTCATTAAATGCCCAACAGCGAGTAACTGTCTAAACTTATTATTATGAGACATAAAGAAATAAAGAAAATGACAGAGTGTTGCCCCCATTTAAAAAGTACTCAGCTCTAAACGACTGCATTCCTGGGAGCCTCCGTTGGAGAAGAATCCTAAAGTTTATCAAGGAATCATGGCTCCAAGCACATTGTTGCCATTTAATTGACCCTACAGAGATAAAAAAAAACCCCTTAACTTTGTTGCCTAAGAAAGGGAAAGCAGCACATGAAAGGCATGCTGAGGCCCGGCCACATGTCTGGTCACCTGGCAGCTGGTCTCCTCGACCCCGGGGCAGGAGGGCCATTTACTGCAGGAGCAGAAGAAGCCGGCCTGTAAAATGCAGCATGTGCGGGGGGGCAGGGGGGGGGGGGGGGAGCGTCTACCGGCGCGCGTTCTGGTCTGCTTTGCGTCCCCTCCTCGTATAAATTGAGGCCTGGGCCTTTGATCAGGGCGATTCCCAAACTGATTTCAGACTGGGTGCCTCGAGGATATAAAGAGACGAGCGGAGAAAGCCCCCCCCCCCCCCCCAACGAAAGAGGTGAGCTGTAAACAAACACAGCTGGTTCCGCGTTCTCCCTCTAACGCCGCTTTTTGTTGCCAGTCCCCTCATTCTGCAGCATTTCCCTTCCATAGCCCCCTTTGTGCCAATTTCCCCTCTACAAATCACGTCCTAATGGCTGCCATGGTGGCATGTGGACTTCATAAGACGCCCCCCAAAAACACGCCGGGCTCTCAGAATCCGTCGCTTAGCGGTCAGATCTCTGGAGAGAAGTAAAAAGGGCCGCGTTTCGAAACGCTCTCGCAAACAACAGGAAGAAAATCCGCCTTCCAGCCGCGAACGACAAAGACTCTGTTGTTCTCCGGGACTCGCTGTCAAGTCCCGTCTCGTTTCTCGTCTCTCGCTCCTCGAGGTTATCGCCTTCGACCGCCCGACCGGAGTGTGCCCGGCGCTTATCTCCCACAGGTCGCTGACCGGCGAGCGCTGGAGGGCAGAAAGACGCCAGAGGCAGGAAAGCACGCGTTCCTATCGCCGCAGATGTCCATAATGAAGAGGCTCGGTGCTGTTTAAAGTGAGCCGACGTCTTGTCAAACACGAGGAGGATGTGCTTTATCACGAGCCAAGGGCTTATGGGAGAGCTGCACATTCCACACTTACAAACCCTTTGGCCTCTGTCGTCCATACATCTACCTTATCGCTGGTTTCGGGGGAATGGTCAGCACATAATGTGCATCCTCCATTCGTTAATGTAGAATAAAAAGACGTGCGTATCAGTTAGAAGTAGAATATAATGTAGAATATAATGTTATGGTGGAGAATAATATACGATTTCAGTATAAAGGTTAAAAAAATACAACTCTAGGATGTGCAATTTATATTTATGCCTTTAGCAGATTCTTTTATCCACAATGACTTACAAGGATACAGATCATAGACACGTTTTGAAGACTTTTTTAAGACTTAAGGACAGATTCAGGGGGTTGACGTCTGGGTGCAAATATCCATAAAGTAAAAATCATAAAATACGAATCAAAATGTTGAAAAAGTCATCTTAAAAGTCCATTTTGTGTCTGTGGCACAATGATTCTGGCTCCAGCTATCATAGCTAAATCATAGCTAAAGAAGAAAAAACAACAAAGCCGCTGTTAGTTTTCAATAAAGCAACAAAATCATGAAAAGAATGACAGCACTTTCCATCCGTTTCCCTGGAGTTTTGTTAGAGATGAACAACTTATTTGACATGATGGCAAACCCCCTTTTGAGCGTCTTTCAGAGCTTCCGCTCAGAGTTTATTTGAACTGAACAGGGACTCACCCATAAAAGACAAAAGACAGAAAAGACAAAAGAATGTTTCTTATTAAAAGAAATGACAGTGGGTTCTAACATCAAGAAAATACCATTCGAGGACAGAACAATTCATTTAAAGGCATTTTGTAAAAAATAAATAAATAAAGTGGGACGGGAAATGTATGGGTGGAGTGTCAACATCTTTGAGCTTTTTTTGCTAACATGAAGCTTAATTTACGACTCAGAAGCAAAAAGGATTCGGTTGAAAAGCGTCTGGCCCAAAATGGACAGGACCCAGAACTGAAACCGGCTCCTGGGCTGTTCCACACTAGACTCCTGCATCACCTGCCCCATAAACCAGCAACCCAAGCGGCTCCCTGAGGAAGGGGCCGGGCTCATAAAAGACCTGGGCGTGCACATGGGCTGCGTTTACAGCCGTGAGAGTCCAACTCGGTCTCATGGGCCCCGTTAAGGTCGGTATGTCAAAATCTATTCGCTCAAAAATGTTCACAGCGAGCATGAGCAAGCATCACGACAGAATCCAGGAGTAGTCACATGCAAACATGGACAGAAACTTCTGATATCAGAGCTAAAGGTCCAAAATCACCCAGCTGCTCATTTAAAGCAAAAAGCGGTGGGAGATGATAATATCCCATTCCCATTCCCACTTATGATGCCTAAAAATGAGGAATAAAATAAGATTTTATTCAGAGTAGCCTTCCTTTCTCGCTTTTTACAATAAAAACATTCAAAACGATGAGGCGATCAGCCCTCAAAAAGTTGCTAAAAGTTGCATCAATGCGCGTAGTTAGCAAGTTATTGTTACCTTCTCTCTATTCTCTCTTCCTTTTTTTCCTCTTTTTTAATTTTTTTTTCTTCTTTTTTTCTCTTTCCCTGTCCCCCAGTCAGGTTTGGCATCAACCATCTTACTTCTGTAACAAGAATAAATCTTGAATAAATAATTAATAATAATAAATAACAAAGTACAATGCTAAATGCTAAACACGACAAGGGGTTAAGAAAAAATCATAATACAAATGAATTAAAACATTTTTTTTTAAATGAATCAACTCACCATTACAATTTCCGCAGCTCACTACAGTTTAAAAACCCTTGTCATTTCCCTTTCATGAATAGCTTCAAAACCTAATTCATGAAACATTTACAACCGAAAATGAGAAAACGGACACACCCATAAAAGCAACTTGGATGGACAAATGAGCCTGGTGAGTAATATTTCTCCATGCCAAGGCATTGCTCAACTCATGTGGGGTCTATCAAACCAAGCATGTGTCTTCAATCAAGCCCGCCTTCTTTGATGAGTAACAAGCTAAAAGAATATATCCAATTTCCACTCAGTGAAACACACTCCCAACAACCAACATCTTTAATAGTACTGGTGATACAACTTGTCCGTGTCTCTGGCAAAACCTCTTTATAACTTTGTGAACGGTAAGATAAATTTAGCCGGACGAAAACCCAGAATTTGTTTGCTTTTAAGTTTATGTCAGTAGTTACGGAGTGAGGGCAATAATAACACGTAGAGAAAACTTAATTGTGGTAATTGTGGAGAGTAGGGTTGTCACGATGCTAAAATTTTCAACTCGATACCGATACTCAGGAAAATACTTGATACTCTATATCATTTTCGATACCACAAGGATAAAAACAAAGACCCCAAAATTGAACTGAATTGTGTCTTTGATTTCAAACTGACCTGTTACTGATGTTATCTTGAGTGGTGGCCCACATTAATGGCCCTGACATTAACCCTAAACCTAACCCTAACCCTAACCCTCCAGCCTTCATAATTGTGAGAAATAAATATTTTTTGGTTAAACCTGTTTGGACTTATTGTACAAACCAATTAAACATCCACTATTTTAACATACTATTATGTATAGAGTTTAATTAAGTGTTTGAAAGATTCATTTCACTATTTTTAAATTAATGTCTATATTGCCATGAAGCAATTAGGATTTTCTTGCCTGGGATCTTCCTATTGGTGACCTACTCAAAATGGCCGACTTGGATGTGGGCGGAGTTGGATATGTACTTGATTAATGGTAGCATGTTATTATTAGCCATTAGCCGCAGCTAGCAAGGCTAACGTCTTGTTAGTGATCATAAACAACGTAAATAAATACATAAATAAATCAGATAAAGGGGCGCAGCGACGGCAGGTCAGCGGGGGTATCGATACTTTCGAAAATGAGTATCGTATCCGGATACAACATTTTAGTATCAATACTTTTGAAAATGAGTATCGTATCCGGATACAACATTTTAGTATCGATACTTTTTCGAGTATCGATACTTTTGACAACCCTAGTGGAGAGGGTTTTACTGCCTTGGCATTCGGCTGCTTACCTTCGTTTCCGGGGGAGTTGCTCATTAGAACCTGGAGGTCTCTGGCGAGGTTTGAGACGTGGGTCTGGACGTTCCGGCAGGTTCCCCTCAGTCCTCCGATCTCGTGGGCGTGGGCTCGAACGGTGAGGTTCAGCTGGTTCACGCAGGTCCACAGCCCGCTCACGTGCCGGCTCAGGCCGTCTTTGATCCTCTGGAGGCTGCTGGAGATCGGGTCCAGCCCGCCGCACAGAGCCTCCAGGCTGGTCACTCTCCCGCCCATTCTGGCCATCTCCTCGTCCGCCCCTTGCCTCGTCTTCGCGCACCTTTCGGCCTCGGTTTGAACTTTGGCGCTCAGTTCCTCCAGACGCCGTCTCAGCTCCAGAAGCTCTTTGGCCTCCTGCCCGACTTGAACCCGACCCCCGGAGGAGTTACGCCTCTCTTCTGTCCGAGATTCCAGGTGGACCATTTCCGATAATGAGTCCTCCAGCTTGCCCGCTTGCCCTTTGAAGGACTTCAGCTCATTGTTTATAACCTCGATGAGGCTGCTGTGGTTGGTAAGCCGCCCCTCCGTGGCTCCAGCGTGGCTTTGCAGAGCTTCTAGATCGGTTCCCATCACGTCTACCGTACGTTTCAAGTCCCGAAAGTCTCCCTGAAGGTTTTCCAGAGAACTTAAATTGGCCCCGCACTCTACTGAGCACGAACGCTCCACGTCGTTGAGTCTGCGCTCCAGACTTTGAATAGAGTCCCTTAAGGGGTTAACGCCGACCAGCAGACCATCTGGACCTTCTTCTTTTCCACTGGTGTTAGTGTTTGACAGGAGGCCTCGGAGTTTGTCCTCCGCCGAGGCCAGCTTCTCCTCCAGAATCCCTCTCAGGTCTCGGACGGCGTCGGCCTGCCTCTCCTCCAGGGCGCGGCACTTTGCGTCCAGGGGCTCCAGCGACGAGTTCAGGCGACTTTCAAGCCGGACCCTGATGTCCTGGATCTCGTTGCGCAGGTCGCCCTCCTTGGAGTCCATGAGCTCGGCCAGGCTGAGGTAGCTGGCCTCCTGCCCCTCGCACTGCTCCTGAACCGAGATGATTTTGTAGTCGCAGGAGTTCTTCAGGTCGGCCAGTTTGATCTCCATGCCCTCCATCAGCTCCTCCCTCAGAGCGCGAATCCGATCGTCCAGGTAGGATCGCAGGTTTGCGTCTCCGGACGGGGGGGGTGTAGATGGCGGGTTCTGGGCGGCCTCCATCAACAGGTTGATCTGTCCCTCGTGGCGGTTGACTCGATCTGAGAGATGTTCCAGCGCGTCGCTTTTGGAGTCCAGGTCGTACTTGACCTGCTCGATCTTGTTCAGGACCTCGTCCATCGGCGCCGACTCGTGGTCGAAGGAGAAGTCCTGCACCTGGACGGCCTCGGTCTCGGCCCCCCTGGCGCTGGCGGGAAGTTTGAAGTCGTTCATCAGCGCGGCCAGCATTTTGCTGGCGTCCTCCTGGAAGTCCAGCCTCAGGTTGGAGGCCATGTCCGTCATCCTCGCCTGCATGTCCAGGACCATCTGGGACAGCTGTTGCACCTCGTCCTCCAGCTGTTGGGCCCTCTGAGCCCCTACCTGACCCTCCCGGGGCCTGGAACTCGCATGAACTCCGAACTGCCCCTCCCCTCCCACAGAAGGATTCGGTTGGTCCTCTGTTCTCTGTTTAGGAACTGTGGCAAAAAGAAAAGAAGCAGAGTTTGAGAAGAAAACGTGACGTGTATCCTTTCCAAGTCACAATTTAGAAACGCTAACTTCCCTAACGTCCAGGCAACTTTCAATAGTCGCAGTTACCTTTAGGGGCTGGAAAATGGCCGGAGGCAGAGGGAGCATGGGAAATGCGGTCCACTTGTAGCAGCTTCATGTCTTTCACCTCCATGCAGTCCTGGCCCCGGTACCCCGGGCAGCACCTCCATTCCAGCTCCGTTACGGTCTTGTATCCAATTTTGTAAGTGGGCCTAAAATGCGTGCGATATCTTGAAACATAAAATGTCAGGACGTTAATGTGGGCGTCACATTCACCGTTTATTTCTAAACGTAGAACACGGCCACTGCTCAGTTGTAATAAACGGGGTAAAAGGCACGTTAAATACATAGAAAAGTTTTGATTCTTGCATTTGGAACATTGATGTGAACTAAAAGAAGAATAGGTTTAAATCTTTCTGTTGACAAAAAACAGACTTTATGCATAAAAACGACACATTTGGCATCAAAAGACATTTCACTGGGGATGACGTAGAAGTTATTTTTCTCTTTCTCCAAACATGAGGACACTGTTGGCCAGCCTGGGGTTTTAATGTGTTAATTGGGAAGTTAAACAAAGGCAAAAAACTCAAGGCAACGAGGCCATGAAAGCTGTTTATAATCATGCTTCTGGATATTCAAGATCCAAAAGTGGATCTGTGACACAAAACAAAGCCCAAACATATGGAGAGTGTGGAGGCGCGTGGAATGGCCTATTAAGGTCAAAATCAGAAACAACACCAAATGATATCCGCCCAGTGACCAAGTGTTCTGGAAACTTACATCACTTGCTGCGCGCACTCTGGCAGCTCCTGCGGACAGGGCACAAACTCGGGCTGCGCAAAGCTCTCCGTGCCTCCCACCACGGCGCAGCTCACGTTTTTGTGCACAACGTAGGCGCACCAGTTCCTGCAGAAAAAAAGGGGGCCGCTTTAGTTTAGTTTACCCCCCTCCCAGCTCCTGGATCCCTATTATCCGACTTGTATCCAAACGTGACCCGGACCCCTCACCTGTTCCTTTGTCGCGATCCGGTGCCAGAATACGCGTTTCCCTGGAACATGTCGTACTGGAAAGGGGACCCGCCGACGAGATGAAGCGTTACTAAAAAGTTTAGGAGAGGCAGGGCGCGCTTCATGGTGGAAAAAAAGATTTGGGAAATCCAGCAGGTTTTCCTCTCCAGGTCGTGGCTGTGTGGAGTTGGAGATCTGCTGTGCGCTCTTTCTGCTCTGCGCGCACAGCTAAAAAAAAAAAAGAAAAAAAAAAAGAAAAAGGGCTCCTTCCAGCAGTTTGGATGTGACGTGTTCGGGACCCCCTCCAATTCTGACAGATGCTGCTTTCTCGTTTTCTCATCACATCACTTCCCCCACACACCCATTTCTCTGACATGTTGGAGAGGAAACTTTAGTTTTTGATTCAGGAGAGCTCAGTTTAAACGTTTGAATTAGATTTTTTTTCACAACTTTTGGATTTTCAGATAAATTCAGGACACACAAAAAACTGGCACAAACAAGGGGAAATGTGAGTTTATTGCTTGTTCTGATTTAATAGAGTGATTGAGTACAGAATGAACCATAATAACTACATGAAAATATCCCAGTATAAAAAGAAACACATAATATAAAAAAGAGCTGGTGTCCAAACTCTGGTGGAAGAGATGCTCTCTTATCTGCGTCTCTTTGGACTAATTCCCGACGCCTCACCGGCACTCTCGAGAACCCGTTTCCCAGATCTCACCGATAAGAAGGCTGGAGAAGGAACACGGACATCTTATCAAAATCAACAGTACAAAAAGCATCACATAAGTTGATGACAAAAAAAAAAAAAGGAAATTACCGAGTTCTCTGTCAATTTCATCCAGCTGCTTCTTCAACTCTTCCTGTTTTTCTCGTTTTCGCTGCATTTCAGGGGCTCCGTCTGTCTGTGCATGATCTTCTAGTTCCTTTTCTGCCATCTTCACCTTTGTGATGAGCTCACGGTACTGAGCGAGCAGTTCTGTGCCAAAGAAAAGACGAGGGTAAGAGAAATAGGCTCGACTGAGGGGGTCTGAAAAACATACCTTCGAACGGTAACTGAGTTTATTTATTTATTTATTTTTAAACAAAATTTGTATTATCTTTTCAGAAATAATGCAGTGTGGTACAAATGTATTAATTGTAAAAATAATTACATTTTTAAACATAAAAAACAACCAAACACAAACACAGGGTGATTACAAGAGTGTGACAAAAAAACAAAACAAAAAAATACCTTATTGCATAATTAGTGGAACGGCAGGTCTCCAACGTTTATTGAATATGGGTGTTTGTAGTCTCAGGGAGTATGTTATATATTCCATCTGGTATATGTCCCAGACCTTCTGGATCCATATATCATAGCAAGGAGGCTCAGGTTGGAGCCATCTGATAGTTATACATTTTAGAGCCGCTGTTTATAATGTTCAAAATATATTTTCCATCCTGTGTAGTGATAGTTTTCGGTGTTACTCCCAATAGGGCAATGATTATATTGGATGGGATTTCCTGTTTGAAGATTACTTTTAGGGCATCAAAAATGTCTTTCCAAAACTGATGTAATTTGGGGCATTGCCAGAATATGTGTGTGTGATTAGCATTGTCAGTTCCACATTTTCTCCAACATAATCCCATGTACGTCGGTCCCATTTTAGCCGATATAGCTGGTGTTCTAAAGAATCTAGTCACGACTTTCCATTTGAATTCACGCCAGGTGTTTGAATTTGTGACAAGGTGTGACTCTGTACATATTTCCTCCCAAGTAACTGAGTTTTTTTTTTTTTTACCCATGTCCTTCTTCAGGGTGTGGAACGGTGGAGGCAGGGGGGCCCCAAACGCCCGGCCGTCGGGGGGGGGGGCTCTGTTCTGACGGCCCCCGAACTTCCCTCTGGCGCTGACCAGGTCTCCCCCTCTGGTCAGTATGGCGGGACAGCGGATCCGTCTCTCCACCAGCTGTGGGCCAGTTTGATTCCCAAAGGTTTAAAAAAAAAGGAATAGTTTCCCGTGTTCATAGTTCTTTTTTTCCAAGGTTGAACTAGTTCAGTTCAGTTATGTTTTAACCAGTTCGGTTCCCACAGGCTAAAAAAATATGTTCAACCTTCATACTTAACCATT